TTCATTTTAGAAAAACGCTGAGGACATGATTTTTAACTTACCTGATAGTACTTCGATAATAAATCCTTACTTTGCACCACATGTCAAAATAGACAAAATAGAAGTTGATACTATAGATGATGTTCACTGGAAGCAGTTCGAAGATTCGTTATTCAAAATTGGAGAAGATCGTATAATCGAAGGTACTGTTTGATTCATGAGGGTTTGTACTTTTGCCTTCCATTTTTAACAAATAGAAATTGACTGAAACAAATTAATGACGTCAAAAACGTTTGTCGGTTTTTAAACTAGAAGTAATTGAATACAATACAAAATCTGAACGCTATTGAATTTATGTGAATCAATCTGCAACAAACTTTTTTTTCCAAGTCATGACATTATCGATTTTTTAAGTACAAACCTTCGTGAAATGAAGGTATAATAAGGTAATATAAGTAATAGTATTTACAATGTGCAAAGGACTATTTAATTCATTTTTTTTCCAAATACCTACTGTTACGAAATTGCATCGAGAGCCTAGCCAGATGCTAGGAATCCAGTTGTTTACGGGATCATTTGCCAGGAAATGGATAGTCTGGAGAAGAAAATTGAAATGTAGGAATGTCACTTGAAATCAGGAAATGTGACAACTTTGCCTGCAACCGGTATTAGAGTTAATCCATCACCATACGTCAGACAGACATCATAGGCGATGTACAAGCGTCAGTGCGAGACCGTTGCAATTGCTAATGGTTGGAGCTCCAATGATATGGCTACAAGCTTGATGTAGTATTGTGTGCTCCTGCCTTGGACCTACCAGAGACTCTTTCGCCAGCTTCCCAACAAAACTATAATGTGCTTGTCGATACGTCAGAGCTTCGTTATAACAATCAACACCGAAGGCAGCTTTACCAGGTACAGTTAAGAACAAGACTACAAGAATTTTAAATCGATATCCGCCGCCTAAAGAATTTGGCCTACCCGGAAGCAGCAGTTGAAATGCTAGAACAGCTAGCGGCCAAAAATTTTATAAGTGGAGTTAGAGATATGGATGTAGACGGAATGCTGCTCATTGCTCATAACCAAACCATCAAGTAGCAGCTAGCAGCGAAGCAACAATCGAAGCCCTAGAAAAATAACCGGCATATCAGATATCCAAACCAAAGATCAGAGCTCTGCCAATTCGAAAGAGCAAATAGGAGAAATTTGAGACACCATAATGAAGGAACTTCTGGAATAATCACGAAAGGTTAGTACCAGAAACAATCAAGAGAACTGGAAAGGGGACATCGGATGTTGCCGCTGCAAAAGAAGAGGGCATCATCAGTGTGATTGTAGAGTATGGCTGAGATTTTGCTTTTCTTCTTATGGCTCTCAGCGTTCAACGGGTAACTTGGAAGGGGTGTCTGTACGACTGAGATCTCGCTTAACTTCTAATGACTTTCTGGCTCTATTGGGTAAGTTGAACGAATGTTACCGCTACGGAAGAAGGAGACATGGCTATAGAGTATACAACTGAGATCTCGCTCTCCTTCTGACTGTCAGCCTTAGATTGAGAAGTTAAAACGGCACCATTTTCTGAACTAACATCGCTCTGGTGAACACTGCAGATGCCTTATCCATCTGACATCAAATAATTTCTGATCATTCGGGAAAGCGGCAATAGATTATCAACAAAATAGAGAAAAGAATGGTCCAGCTAGCGAAGAAAGAAAAACCCAGAAAAACCAAACAAGAAGATTGGTAGAATACGACTGCTGGTCCAAGAATTCAAAATTATCCTTTAAACAGCCGCTCTACAAATTTCCACGAAAAGGAACATTACGAGCGCTACGACGCAGACAAGGCGGCCATCATTTTTCTGTTTTGTATGAGTGCAGTCCAAGGAAAGAAGAGCCAAGCAGGCAGAGGGTAGATCTAGAAAGTCAGGAAGGCTGAGTGGTCTAAGGCGCGTTCAGGTCGTAGTCCACTTAGAGAGACATATAGAGATACCTCTATCTAAAAAATTAATGGATGGAATCATTATGGATCTGAGTGGATGTATAGACGTGGTGATAGTGTCAGATCGGGACGAGTCTTACGAAATTGCATCGGGAGCCCGGCCAGATTCTAAGAATCCAGTTGCTTACATCTAGAGCACGTCTATTATAGGAATTCTATTGTAATCGAATAAAACATTTCTAGATAAATTCGATATACGATATGATATCGTCTATAATCAGCGCGTAGTACTCAGTCTAAACACGAGATTTGTTGTGTTTGGGTTAAATAAGCGACAAATGATACAGTGAATTTTCATAATAGTCCGGGTGCCAAAAGCAATACCCTAAAATTTTGTATCAAGTTTTTTTAACTTCTGAATATTAACAAGGACATATTAAGCTATAATAAAATGGATGGTGTCATCCTTGGGCAGCTCGATATATTCAGTATGGCGGCCACTATGGCGGTTATAAATTACTTGAATTTGTATACGGTCTTTTTATGCAACTAGGTGTATCAAACTATTTTATTTTAGAATTATTTGTTATCCAGAAACACCATTGTATATGTATTAGGAGATTGACGTTAAAAAAAAAAAACTTTTCCTATGCAAAACTATTAACCTTCTCGTGCTACAAACAGAAAACATTCATTGATCAAATTTAATAAAACGTCTAAATTGAAAACAGCATTTTTCAGATGACTCTTCGACAGTATCGTCTTTAATTGGTTCATAAACATTTACTTTATTCTGTTTCATTTCTACTTCCGCAAATCTTGTCAAATCATTGGAACAGAAACTATTTTTGCATAAGCAAAACATAGTGCATGATAGACTGGCACTCCTGCAACTACATCGATTGCTCTTATATGGCAATGCACTTTCACGAGAACACTTCACTGATTTCAGAATTTCCAGCGGTGCAATTTCAGTATTCTCTGGCGAAGTTCTAGGCAGCAGGCATCTCGAGTTTTCATTCTTATAGAAGTCATGAAGGAGTGGATCCATATCTGGTGGGTCTGATTCCATCGAGTTTTTCCATGCATGTTTGTAAGTGAACTCGCTTAAGGTTTTCTTCAAACGCTGAATTTGTTCGTGGGAGCGAGCACCGTTTTGGTAATTGGGATGTAGCACTTCCAACATTTACACGAGCCTCTGAAGTTGTGTCACATTTATTTACCATAACACATGGCAGTGGTATCACAGGCAGTAATAGCATGAAGCGCTAGTTCATCAGATAATATATTCTCGTATTCAATAGCAAACGCTCCAATGTCAATGTCAATGTTTTCTGAATTGATAGAACAGTAAGACACAAAACTTTTAAAGACAAAGGTGATCTTCATGCTGAATTATTGGGCATGGGGGTGGCTTTTCTGTTCCATGGTACCTCACTATTGGTGTCTCAAAATCTATGTTACGTTGCATATTATTCTTCTTCAATCTTCTGATGGTACACTGAGTAGTGCTTGAACCAGCGTTTTCACTTTCTGGTTTCGTTTGTGCAACTAGAGCAGCTAGTGAATGTGTAATCATTTCTCCATTTTATGAAGATAATATCTGAGTAACAATATTGTCTACAACAAACTGAGTAAACGTTTCGCTAGATCTATCAATTAAAATCCCTGGATAAATCACATTACGTCGAAACTTCGTAGGCTGCTGACTTCTTAAAGCGTAAAACTTCATCATAAGTAGGTACATGATGTATGGGACTTAAATTTAATTTAATAAGTTGACCACTTCTTTTGAAAATCGAAACTTTATACCTAAAGCAATCTGAAGATCTGTGAATGTATTAGATAGGATTGCTGACACTATACTTCCTATAAGCGAAGCTGGTAGAGCCTTATCCAGTTTTGTTGATATTGCCCCACACAAGTGCATTAGGGTCATGCCAGTTTGTTCTACAATGTTCTTATAACTTACGTGTAAGTTATAAGTTTCTTTATTATTATTTTTTAATCCTAGAATTTCACGTTTTATTTTTTTACTTACCACTTGAAAAATAGCAGCATTTAGTTCATCATCACCGTCATCAGGACATAATCTTAACATTGAAGCTGCTTTGTTTGGAAAAGTGATGATGTGAACATTACCTGGCGCAGATAGCACAAGTAGATCACGAAATTGCTCTTGTAGAGCTTTTATCAAATTTGATCTGCTAAGTTTACATCGACCATTATTAGTGTATTGTGTACTTCTACAGAGATCCAAATACGTTTTTTATCTGTTGAGAATGCTCTTACAATTTTAATGAATTTTATATGCAGCTTCTTTTTCTTGAGCCTTCCATTTAGCATCTTCCACATTTCTAGTACTTATGAATTTATTTCGGCAATTTACAAGGTACTTTGCGTCAGCAGCGTTTAATAAGTAACTAACCACGCCAAATGACCGAAGTCGAACTTCGGCAGCCCAGCTATCGTTTCTAGTATCACTTTTCTCAATAAGTAATTCTTTCAATGATTTAATTGTTTTTTGTTTCTAAGACGAAACTTATGTGCTATGGTCTCCATCTTCCATCAGGGTGTCTCGGATCCTTCTTCAAATAACAACTTTCTACACATAAAATACAGTGTTCCTAGAATTCAAACACTGATATGTTTTAAAATATTAGTTATAAAAAAATTAAATTAAAGTAATTATAGCCACCATATTGGCCGCCATGTTACATATATCGAGTGTCCTATTACTAATTGAGAAATAAATAAAACTTAATACCATAATTTAGGGTTTAAATAAAATATATGGTTTGACAACCGGGCGATAAATTTGCTCAATAAAACTTGTTTCTGTTTGTAAGGTGATTTTGGTGGACCCGGTACTCGTGCCATACCACTAATGCGCTAATCGAAAATAATAGATAATAATATTGTTGGATTTCATCTCCAGAGGCAGTAATTTTAGAAAAAGTGAAAATAATCGTAATATAGGTAGTAAAATAGATCATTTTGTAGGAAATCTATCTGTACCAGTAATCAATGTTAACAATTTGCAAGTCAAACTGCTAAATGGAATATATGCTAATCATCTTATGACTAAGTCAACTGATCAAATAATAAACTCCACAGTTGAGTTTAATAATATTAGAGCATCGAACCTAAAATGCAATACTGTTAACGACGCTAATATTAATCAAGCCGTGTTGACTGGTCAAAATTTTACTCATATTAAAGGTTTGTTTAAGATATTTCTTCGAAAAACTGACCAACAACCAGCAATAATTAAAATTGTTTTTAGGCCATGTTAAAATTGAGGCTATTGATGTGCTCAATGACTTGGAATTAATTGGTAACATAGGCCAATCTTTTTTTCTTAAAGAAAACAATCATACATTTGGTACCAATGAATCTGATTTGATTCAAAGATACTTGGGAAAAGTTGTTATTAATGGTAGCCTATATGTGAAGGACTTTTCCGTTCTTCGGGACACAACTATTTCTCTGAGAGGTAACGAATATACTATAGATATACTAAACGAGTATTGGACAAAAAACGATAATCAGGTAAGGAATATCATTTAATTTGGGATACGAAGAACAGTGGTCAATAAAACCAATTCACTCACTTGCCGATGTTCAGAGGACTATATCGACAAGGCTATGTAACGAAATACATGATGTAGGTATATTATTTCATCAAAAAAATAGGTATATTATATCGTATAAGCGTGTAAATCATTCCTGATTTTTTAATATGAATCTCAACATAATTATTTGTGGAATAGTATAATTTATCTCGAAAGGGAAAATTGAACAAATGGAAAATTGGTTGGAGTATCCATTTATTAAAGACATCAATATTCAACTGACAGACGAAAGCGATGAACTGGATAAGTATCTATCTATCCAATTAGTAATAAACCGTTCCCGCCTCAAATTTCTTTGATGTTAAAAAAGCTATTTTCCTTCACTTGCGCCAATGTGTCTTGTAACAGAGCCTCGAAAAAGGAAACATATTAGTCCGAACATCGAAAACTTAGCGTACCTCATTTCTCAGAAAATACATAAGCCAGTATAATTATAGCAAGTGTGGCTAGTTTTGCAATGAAAGCTCTATAGGTAAGTACCTATATTCAATTTAACTTTATCCACATACTTTTCTAGGAAATTCCGATACACTTCGAAGCAACTAACGGGATATCAGTTACTCATTTATACACAAAAACATTGAATGAAATACCAGTGGAAATCTTTGCCTTAAATACAAACAACTCAAAAATTCAAGGCCCGTTATTGTTTGAAAATGTTACTGTTCATGGAAATGTAACAATGAATGATAATACTAGTAACATATTTGGCTTGAAAAAACTTGCAGATGACGCTGTGAAAAATGACGGATCAAGGTATTTTTTTGAAATAGTTTTTGCTTTTCAACATTATTGTATTGATGTTTGTAGTTATAAAATTAAAGGTAGAAAAATATTTATGAATAAACTACAAGTGAAAGATTTGGATGTGTCAGGAAAGGATCATAATCCCGAGTTGCATAGAGCACCACAAGGTTAATATACCTATCTTAAACTACTTATTATGATATTAGAAAATTAATTTTGATTTTTCTTCTCGTAGATTCAAATAAAACTCTACTTATAATAGGAGATCTGGTATCAAAAACTGTTCAAACCACTACTATAAACAGTAATAATATTAGCAATTATGTTGACAAATTAGTATATTTGGGAAAACCGCAAAATCTGACAAATATGGAATATAAAAATGTTATAGGTAGGTATCTATTGTCAAAGCTATTGTTTTGTTAAAAAATTGTACCAATGGATGTTAACTATTTTTGTATTTTTTTTTAGTGAGAAACTTACACGTCACTACTATTAATGGCAAAAATGTAACAGAATATTTAGAAAAATTGCAAAATATTTTTAAAAACGGGAAGATTAGAATACTAAATGTAAGCGGGAATGTCACTTTGCACACGATTAAGAATTTGAGTCACATAAATGGTCATGAAACTTTGCATCTCCTTAAAGAGGTAGGTACTCACTAATTTATGGAGTTAGAGAAATAGTAAATTAATTTTTTTAGCATGTTCCACCCAATAATGCTAAAGATAATCTTCGTAGAAAAGTAAAATTCCAAGGAAAAGTGAAAATAGGAAATTTAGGGGCCGGAAGTATTAATAACATTAACTTTCAAGACTTAAGTAAACGGTTATTACATAAAAAGTCTAATCAAACAATTGTGGGAATTTATAAATTTACAAATCTGAAAACTGGTATGTTTTTTTTACATATTTAGAGACAGAACTATTAGCTAAATACGATAACAACTTAATACTTATCCACAATTCCAATCCATTTCGAGCATTGCTGGCACATAATAAAAATTATTAATAGGTAAATATACCTATAAGTAGAGGGAAAGTAACCAGCAGGAAAATACTTGGAACTATTGCATCTTATGGTGCAAATAAAAATAAAATAATGAACCTATTAATGCTTCACGAATATTTTATCAACTTACAAACCAGCATCTCCAAGTCTTGAAAATGCGGCTGAAAACAATAAGAGAGCTTGAGGTGCAGCGCCTGGAAAACACTTAATTAAACAGAGTTTTCTGGCATTACAATACAAAACTACTGAACTATGAAAGCCAAGCTACTCACTGAAAAATCAATGTAGGAGACATCTCAAAAAAAATTGGAAGTATAATGTATGCACTCAAAAGAAAAGTATGTTAAATGGAATAAAAAACCTGGAAGCCAAGACTTTCAAGTGCCAAAGCATCTAAAACTGAGTGGCAGATAACGCACCTCCTGAGTAAGTAGGTACCTACAACTTTCACTTCCGGTGGCTCATGCCACTTTCGTGCCATGAGCAACACTTCGCGACATGTTGTTATGCTTCCGCTGGTCCTGACAGTGACGAACTAACTCGTGAACAACTGCCCCTCAGAGGCTAACGTCTTCTCAAAGGCACGCTAATTGAATCGGTGGGGCCCCTTTCTCTCTGAGTACTCGTGTTAGAAGGATTTCCCCGGCAATACGTGAAGAGTCGCCGTCGGTGCCTACTTTCATTGGCATTGTGTGATGACCAGAATGTGTCTTTCAACAATGGAAACTGGAATCAGCTCCGGGGAGTAGGTATGCTCCCCGGTGTAGGCATACAGTGGACGCAATATCGTATTTACTTGTGTCTCTGGGGTCCACTAGGTGAAGCCCCCTTCTTTTTTTGATAAGGTAACGGAGATCGGGGTTGCCCCTCTCCCTACTAGCATTCGGTCACCCATAGAACTGGGATTTTCGGGTCACACACTTGAACCCCTGTGCCGTGGACGAGCGGAAGCCCAATTACCAGAAGGCAGGCATATGGACTTTTGGCCAGATAAACTAGAATCGCCCACGAGTATCTCCCCCCCTTATGTGGCGGTCGGTTCCATGCAAGGATGGTGACCTTAACATCTTTCTGCAGATAGGCTCAAAAACTTTGCATAGACAGCTGGGATCGTTCGAGAGTCCTTCTTTCCTTCCTTTTTCATGATATAGCGAACACAACAGTTCAGTGAGAAACAAGATACCCCAGCGATTCCAGTCAACGATATGTGGCCAAAAACAGTGGGGATCTCCCTAATCTAGGTACTTTTTGGCAAGCCCATGTGTTGAATAATAACTTGGCTTTTCCAGTTACATTGCAGCTGGTCTCGACATCTATATATATAAAAATTAATGCCACTTTTCGTTGTAATTTTATAACTCAAGAACGGGCACACCTAGCCAAACCAAATGTTTAGGCTTTGTTTGGACTATTTATTAGATGGTTTATGTGAAGTTTGCACAAAATCGGTCGAGCAGTTCTTCATTTATCACATTTTTTGTAATAAATGAATTGTTCAATAAATGGAGGATCATTTTGTTAATGGGAATTTTGCTGTCAAATTGAAACTTTTTTCAGCGTTGACAGTATCAGCATGTTGTTATGTCATTAATGTGATCATTTCATTACTTATTTTATTTATTTATGAAAAAAATTTACTAAGCCCGCATACGGCGCCATCTCTTATAACCGATACCAAGTTTATTTTGTATTTTGTATTTTGTATACCGCGCCATCTCTGATACCTGGAACGAATCTCGGCATTGCAGATACAGTAGAACAATGCTGCTCAGGAACTGGAGCTATTTCGAACAGAACTATTCCACTATTCCGATCAGATAGAGTGGTGCAGAAAGAGTAGATCAGATAGAGTATAACAGATGGAGTAGTGCAGTGCATGCAGTGCAGATAGAGTGAAACAGGGCTGCGCTAGAGATTTTTTTTTTTGTTTTCTTTACATTCTTTGAACATTCCTGTGCCTGAGTTTATTTATTTGGTGGTACACTTTACAAGAATAATGCCCACAAGCTGCCTAAAAAAGGATGATGTAAAATTTTAATTTTAGGTGACTTCTGATCCATAGAGTAAACATTAATTTTCTTCAACCAAAGCCAAATTCACCGTCGAAAAAAACTGAATTTAATTCAGCTAATAGATACGTTAACACAACATTTAACAGGTATATTTAATAATTCAGAGGCGGTACGAAGTTTGCCGGGTCAGCTAGTTATGTATAATTTATTACCAAAATATTAGAGGCGTTGGAATTAAAACCGTAGTTTGAGAACTGCCAACATTAGATGCAACTACGAAGTGATGAAGTTGACTTAAACTTAGCTCAAATCTAGTTCTTCGATTCTACCGCTTCACTGCGTCGTCTATCGCGAGACAGAAATAACGATAATCACTTATTGCCAATACTCCTCTATCAATCTATGAGTGATTATGGGTAAAAGGAAGATCCACAACCCAGATATTTTTTTTGCGAAGGTTTACTTTCCTCCATTTTCTTTGCTTTGACACTTATATGGCGTTTGACAAGACTTTTGAGCGTTTACGGGATCGATATAAAAAATGAAAGTTTTTGGTACCTAAATGGGAAAATTGCCATGAAGCATGCTAAAATTAGCACTCTTCAAATGAACTGGATCGCCGATGATGGTATTTTCTTTCCATAAAACGTCGGAGGTGATGATAGAATCACAACCCTCTGTAGCTCAGGTAGCTTCGGCAGTATTCTGTGATTTGCCGGCCTGCATCGAACGAGGAATACGGCTGTGAAAGCTGGAGGGTGGTTCCCCAATGCTTGGGTTTGTTTGTAGAAATACCAAGCATAAGACAGCATACCAAAGCTATTTTATTTTATGCCTGTATGTACAGCTCAATCTCCGGAAGCGTTCTGGAATATTCTTCCTGCGTCTGACCCCACCATTGCTAAAGACCTTCTTGCTTTGAATTGTCTTTATTAATTACATGATTACCATCCCAAAATCAAATTTTCCTAGCAGGTTTATGTTTCCCACTAGACCCTCATAGGGTACGAGATGCTACATGAACGATTACAAAATAGAACGTTTGAAAGCGATATAAATATCCTACATCTTGTATACTTTTGCATAAGCAAATTTAAATTTCAATGATAAATTATATTTTAGAACATCTGCACACTAAAATCATCAACGACAAAAACCTAGAACGTCTTATTGATATATCTTTGGATACACCTCAACAAATCCTGGCACCCAATGAAGGCATAAGTTTTAGTAATATCTTATTAGTGAAGTCTGTGTTAGCTGACCAGATGGTACCTTGTGATATATATAAAGCTGTGAAGAAAATTAAGTATCCTGGCAATAAAGAATGGCTTCAGGTGGAAATAACTGGAAACGTTACTATGCTTGATCAGGACTCTGATCTAATTTACATTATGGAGAAAAGTGTTAAATTGGACAAAGAAAATACTATTGAAGCTCCTGTAAGTATTATAAAATTTGGTAAATTTTAAATTTAAGGTAGTACCTTCAAACATTTCATACTTTACCTACGCCTCTCTTAAAAAAAAAATTACAGGTGATAATAAATTGGCATGTCTCAGCGGATCAAGTAAATGCCAAGGAAAACGTGAACAAAGTTAATATATCAGAACTGATTGAAGATGCCGTTCTTAACGATTTGGATAAAGAACAAGTTATTACTGGACATAAAATATTTGCGAACATAATAGAGGCAGATCATGCTATTATAATGGAAAATGCTGATATTCCTTTAGTGAATAATATTGCAATATTTAAATTATATGGTAAAATTATTCGAAAAGATCAAGTGAACAATATGACGATAATGGGAAAAAAGACTTTCTATAGAGGTTTGCAAACAAACAAGTTTTTGGTAAGTAGTGTTCTCTATTATTTTAATAATTATGTAGGTACTTCTAATTTTTTCCTTTCATTCCTTTTGACCAAAAAATATATAGCTTTTCCATTACTTTGATTCGTTTTAGACCAATAAAGTAGCAGGCATGAAACCAGAGAACATAGTGAGTTTGGCGAACCTTAAACAAATCCCAAAAGTTTTATTTGACACCATAGAAGTCGTTGAAAACTTTAATCTAAAATATGTAAATAATTACAATTTCAACTACGTTTTAAATAATAGAATACTTACCAATTCATCAGAGAAGCAAATAACCAATGCTGTTTATTATTTCAACGATTTAGAGATTCGTGGTAAGTTGAAAATTATATTCTTCTTGTGAACTTCTTTCAAGTAGTAAATTGTTAAACTATCAAATGTCAAAACAGTCATGGAAAAATACGTACGTATTTTGTGTAACATAATATAAGTAAGGGGACGGTTTACCATTCAAGGTAAAGACGAGGTTGTAATGGGAAAATGAACCTATTAAGCAGAATAATTAACTATAACTATTTGAAGTAAAAATGAAATTAATACCTATATGCTCAAAAGAAATTTTAATGTTGTTACAAAAAGAACAAATACCTAAGAGATAACGTATAAGACTCGTTACTGGGTATCCATAAATGTAAAAATATTTAGTTTTGAGTTTTGATTAGATTACCAACTAGATACAAACATGATTTTTTCGTCGACACCGAAACTTTTCTTTTCATAAGAGCCAGTCACGGAGGAAGCGGTACCTCCCATCGCGAAATGAAATCAATTTTTTCCAGAAGTAAGTCTGCTTATTTTTGTGACACCAAAATGGATTGTCAGCCAAGTTCAATCCGCAAATCCCTCTCTCCCTTAAATTTGGTTCATTTCGCGATCAAATAAGGAAAATACATACCTTGATGGCTCTCTTAGATAAAAATATAATATTCCAATTTATTGGTCTAGAAATTATTGACCTGAAATGATTTTTTTCATGTAGATAACATTGCATCAGCACGCATCAATAACGTAGAAATAAGAGATGTGGTATTTGATATAAAAGAACAAAAAATTATAGCTCCTAAAAGGTTTCTGCAAAATATTGTTGTTTTTGGAAATGCTACCATCGGAAGTCTTAATGGAATTAATTTGACCGAAGAATATAACAACGCCATCTTACATGGAAAAGATGGGATTATAAATGGATCAGTGGTAAGTTACGTCTGAGTCACAATGTTTAGTTATAAGTTTGATCATAATTTAATATTTTACAGAGTATTTCAAAAGCTGTAAATATAAGGGGAAATTTAACTGTGCAGATGATTAGAGGACATCCAATTGAAAAAATTCAACAAACTATGAACCAAACAGTTAATAAAGCAGAGGAAGAATCAATCTTCAATATCCAAGAGAAATTGAAGTATATTGTAGAAGATAATTGGCCTGTTGTCAATCGTAAGTTTTTATTCCATTTTCGTTCGTTTCAACATGGCAATCCGATCTGAGATGTTGATCAATCTGTAGGCCCGGACATGTTTTGATGACTGTGCCTACACTATCTTTTTACATTTAATTTGTTAAAAATCTAACTAACACAGATAATTTTTTTTTTTAGAAATGCCTAGCGAATTTATGTTCATAGAAAAATCCAGTAACGTACAAGAACCCATTGGAGATGTTGACGCTAGTGCAAGTAATGTAAAAGAATATACTTTAATTAAAATCTTAGGCGAGGAGTCTCATGAAAAATGTGGTTTGCCAGAGGGTTGTAAATGTCCTGTTCAACAAACTGTTGAAATTACTTCACGTATGTCTGTGAGCTATTGGCGTAACAAACAACAACAAAGAATTTACGACTATAATGATAATGGCCTTATGATTCACTTATCTACTAACAGTACTAGTATTGATACAAAATGCCGGTAAGTAGATAATATAAAAATTTGAATTTTATTCCAATGTTCAAATTACATAAATTATGTTTTAGAACCAATCAAACAGAGGATAATAAAGAAATATCAATATTAGCATGGAATACCTCTTCCACATGTAACACAAGCGGATGTTTAAATACCTACCCTTACTTTTTTACAGGGTATATTAGTGCTGTTGAGTTCTTTACAGTGAATGAAATCACATATGCGGTTATAGCGCGATATTATGATCCTGTAAAAGACACACACGATTTAGACTGTATTCTTTTACGTTTTAGTGAAAATAAGGTGAATCAGTTTCTATATTTTATCAATTTCAACTTTCATAGCTGATGATCTTCTCTTGTCCTTATACCATTATCATGCAGTTACAATTATTTTTAATTTTTTTAGACTACAGTAATGGAAATTCAAAGAATCCCTACTCAAGGAGCTTGGATCATGTATTTGTTACACACAGCCCAGGGAGTGACATTAGTAGTTGGAAATCTGGCTAAAGACCCTCACACAGAAATACATAGGTTTGATTTGAACACTGAAAAGGTTAATTATTTTGGGAACACTGATATTGAACCAAATATTTTATGTATTTTTTTATTTTTTAGTTTCATGTTTTAAGAACGGTTTCTTATGGCTGTACTCAAATAGCAGGAGTCGTCCTTGGCAGTGATAGCCTAATTATTCTAGCGAATAAAGAGACACCACTTCAAGTTTTAAAATATAATCAAGTTTTTAATAATTATTATTTTTACCAAATGTTTGCTTTAGATGAACCTGTATTGGGAATATCAGTATTTTACATCGGAGGTACATAATAATAATTGAGTATATGCGTTAGATCAGGGATGAATAATTGGCGCACTTTTTTAATCATTTCAGATTTTGGAATCAGCGAAGCCTATTTATGCATAGTGACTGAGGATAACTATCGTGTTTATTCATTCCAATATATCGATGGTTGGAAGCTCGAATCGAGAGGCATGATACGGGGTTTGAGGAAGTTAGAACCATTTGAGATAGGTAATCAACTGTATCTGTTTGCTTCTACGGATGGTGTTGGTTCAGTACTAAGCATTGTCAAAAATGGAAAAAATAATTACTAGCTTTTTGAGAGATATATTATTGTTATATTTTATGTGTTGTTTTGATATTTTTATTGTTGAATAAAGAAATACAGTCGGAAATAAATAGATTATCTTATTCCAGTGAAGGACTACAAACCCTGGAAATTCCAGCGCATTTTGGAGTTATAGTTCTAATCCCGCTATAAGGAAAGAGGAGGACATTTTCTAATTTTTCGCTATTCTTTTCATAAACTATTGGCAAACATGTGTTTGTCAATATTGTATGTAGGTAGTGGGTAGGTAGATACATACTATGAGGGACAATGAGTCATCCCTGCTGACCGCAGACTCTAGGCAACCCTACGTCTTCAGGGCCAATGTAAAGACACATTTATATTGGGCAGCAGCAATATTCATAGTGTTTGGTCGGTGTGTTTATAGATATATAAAAAGAACGGCACCAAGTTATAAGTTGAAGGCGCGACAAGGACTGTCTAAACGGTTTCAGCACTGCGAAGAGGAAGGCAACGAGAAACCACCTCATTATTTTCCCAAGGAAAAAATCATCGGCATGACTAGAAAACCTAAATCCCAGACCCTCAGGGTGCTGAGAATCACTGGGCCAGTCATGAAGAAAACCTGAAACGTACAAAGTATGTTCCAAGAAGGGAAAATTCACAAAGCCATCAAAAAAATTAAGAGAATAAGTATGCATTATTGACATCTTATGGATCAGCGAAATGAGATGGCCAAATTCTGGTGAGTGACACATCGATGACCATCATGTTTATTATTTTGGTAACCACCACCAAAATAAATACAACGGCGAGGCCTTCATAGTAAACATGATAATACATACAACTACGTTACTTATTAGCCAGTCCATATTGGGGTACTTGTAGGCAGGGAACGGTATGTTGTCTTCCTTCAGTGTGTTTCTGACATATAACAAGTTTGATGACCACTCTTCTTCAAGCCCTTTGTAGTATTTTATGTTTATTTTTTTGATTAGGTGCCTGCAGCACTTTTTGTATTCAGTGTACTTAATTTTTTAAGGGTACTAACTCCACTGAAAATCAGGGGTTCAACGGTGTCTCTAGCAAAATATGGATACACCTGGGTAAAGCCACAAAAACTGTTACTATTAGCATGGTAGAACTCTACGGGTCTCAGGCCAAGGCCCCCTTTTTTCAATGGCATATAGATGCGAGCATTTGACATGGTTTTGCCTTTAATTTTGTACTACTTGGATCATCCTGATTTTTTTGTTTATATCTAGGGGTCGCCAAGTTCTTGATAATTTCAAGATCTTGTCTTGATTTCAAGACACAAGAAGATTACACAAGAACAAGAACACAAGAAGTAATTTTAGATTTCAAGACAGGACAAGAAATTTTATGTCAATACCAAGATTTCTTGTCAAGAGAACAAGAAATCTTGAAATATCTTGACTAACAATGAAAATGCTAAAACATAATTATTTGTGAAAAAGATAACATATATTCTAACACAAATAACATAAGATATTTTAATTTATTGAACAATGAACAACATAATTTTCGCTAGAACGATTCATAAAAGTGTAAATTAAAACTAAATGATAATTCTGTTGAAACCAAAATTGCAAACTAGATTTCAAATAGGTATCAAATTTAACACATTTTTAGGTCGGAATTAATGAGCCATGAGTTAAGGCACAAGGCACATCGTTATATATACTCCTGGACAAAATTATCGCACCACCACTGCACATAAGCACCATAAGCAGTGGTGCGATAATTTTGTCCAGGAGTATATTTACTAAAACCGCAACGCTTACGTTTTTGTCTATTGCTTGTGGCTAAATATTCTGAGCCAGAATCGGAGCCAAATGGCTCAACAGACGTACCTACTGTTTACTGAAGAGTCACTGTCATTCATGGTAAAATAAGCGATATTATTAATATAATGTACTTTTCACTACCACTGGTACCACTATTCACAAACTGGCATCAAAAATATAACAAAACAGGTACAGACTACAATACCATTATTCAATTAAAACACATTGCGTGCCATGGTCATACAGGGAAAACTTCCCCGGGGGCCAAGCCACGTCACCTGTATATTGGTGACACTGAAAACATCTCTGTACTTTTATGTATTTGTTATTCCAGATATCTGCAGAGATTCAATAAGGAGCACTGAGAAAACGAACTTTGTTTACTCGATTTTGATTGTCAAGAAATAGGTTCATTTCGCGGAAATCAACTTTGCAACATGGCAAAGTTCAGAATCGAGCTTACAAGGTTCTTTTATTCTCAGTTTTACTAAATTGGCGATAAAAAGAGTATTTGAATACATTTACTCACACCAAAAATATGAAAATGTTTCTCAGGGAGCTACCTTGAATACAGACCATTAAAAATACATATAACGTTATCAAAGGAACGGTGACGCGGCTTGCAGGGAAACACTACGCTTCACCAATATATAGGTGACAGGCCCCGTGGAAAACATGACTGTCACCTATATGTTGGTGATGTGGCACGCAATGTGTTAGACGGGGTAAAGCGTGCAATTGCGCGACGTCATTTGCGCTCGTCAGAAAACAAATAACCCCAGAAAAAGTTCTACATTTTATTCAACTATTATTATTAAAGATGATAATTTATAAGTATTTATTGTTAGTGTAAAGGCATTAAGTTTCTATAATCATAATCGGCTCATTTCTACCAAGACATTAAAAAAAATTACATAGTTTTGCTGTAATTTCGAAGACCGTTTTTCGTAGGTACCTAATGTTCCTTTTCAATCAAGATGAAAAAGTTTGAGTGGGAAGCGATTGAGTAAGGCCAAAAACAACTGATTTATGATAAAACATTAATTTATTAAAATATACAAATTAATCTAGATTATCACATTCGCTGCCGAGAACTTACTTTGAGAAACTTCTGATGCGGCTAAAACCTTTGCTGTTTTATTTTGTGCGTTTTTTATATATAATGTAGGGTCATACATATTTTTTTATTATTATTTTTATTATGCCTACTGATAATAAATAGGTAAATTATATAAATTAAAATAAAATGATTTTTTTTTCAATAATCATAAATATGACAGCTTCCAAAGTTATAGGGTTGATACAGAACAAATGGCTGTGTTATTTATATAAAATATTAAATTTATAATTACTGTAATTTTAATTTCCCTGATAAACCTGTATGTACAGGGTGGTCCAATTTGGACACTCTCAATAGGAAATGTCAATTTCTGAGAGAGATACTAAAAAATGAGACCCCCCCTCCCCCCCCGAGGCAAAAATTTCATGAAATCTTGACTGGTGCAGACCGCATTTTGACAGGGCGTTTCTCGGTTTTAGCAATACTGTGAAACCTTTTTGTTTATGAAAATAATTGACGGCCACCAGCGCCAAAACTGCTGAAGATATCAAAATGCGGTTTACACCAATCAAGGTTTCATCAAAATTGAGCATCAAGAGTGGAGCAATATCAAAAAAGTAATAATGCAGAATGGCCGATCCTTCTCAGATCTACTCTGTCAAAAATCAACTTAACCTTGTAAGTAAAAATATTTTTTAATGATGAATAATATTTTTGACACCGAGTAAACCGACACAGCCAAACATTATCAAGTAACCGTGCTGGAGGATGGCCAAGCTCTCTCAGACTGTTTTCAGATCAACTCTGTTTAATCAACCCCATAGACAAAACTAGCACAATACCTATTTTAAAAAATTGATTGGGTGGATGATTTGTTAGTAGAAAAATAGATTTTTTCTTAAATTTTTACCTTACCTATTAAATAACTACTAATTCTATATTTTATTTTTACCAGTATCTCAGACTACCTCTTCCAGATAAGATTCTGAGGTATTTTTCCAACAACACTTACATATTATCAACTTTTTTTTTTAACTATGTTACTACAACCTAGAATTACATTTGATAACCTCGCATCTATCTGAAGGAGTAATCTTTGACAAATAAAAAAATCAAACTTAGTAGGTAATCTTAAAGAAACAATACAAATTTAGATTGAGGAATTTTCCACAATGGAAAAAACGAAACTGATACAACCAAACTTTACTAAGGAACCGTGCTGGAGGATGGCCGAGCCCTCCCAGCCTTTTTCCAGATCTTGACCATGTTCGCTCTCACAAGCACATTCGACTCTGGAATCAAATTATAACCAGATTTTAATGAAATCCTTACATAGGCTCTAAAACCCAGTCAAAAATGCTTTTAGAAATTTACCTTTTACTCAGTTCTGGTGCTACCTTTGCACTGCTCTGCACCTTGCCCAAACCTTTCTTCTTCTTCTTCTTCCTACCACTAATCACTTCACGTAGTTGGGATTCTACCTGGGCAGCCTAAAATAAAAACCAAATTAAATTAATATCTGATTATTTAATTACCAAAAAATCTTCCCTAAAGTATACATATGAACAATAAACATTTCCAGCTAAATGTGAAATATTAGTTTGGTTGACCACCAAGGTTGCCAACTACAATAGGGGTTAAACGATTTTAGAGTCGCAGTTTCGAAAGAAAATGCTCTTTGCTGTAAGAAGATACATGTTCCGCATAATAAGGCAATACCAAACGCCAGCAAATTTAAACCAATTGTTGACAAAGTGTTAAGTTAAGATTTGGGTCGGACCCAATACCGTGGGGTTAGACTCCTGGCCCCTTGAAATAGTAGATTTAACTAAACTACTCTACATCTACCGTTAATGTTGTGCCTGTTGTTCATATTTTAGTTTTTTTTTGTTGGTCAAAGAGGTGGTTGTCAGCCCTTGTGATAGGTACCTATTGTTTCAACAATTTCCAACTTTTTGCCCTTGGAGGACATGGAGAACGTTTACTCGGTCGTCCTTTCTAAATGCTTGGACTTTATTGGATGAGTCGCAGAAGCTGAATTCGTCTGCGCAATGTCCGAGTCATTGTATTTTTAAACCAAACTTGTCATGCGATTTTTCTTCCCGACTGCTGCATGAAAACCGCGAAATAATCTTTGCAACTCAGTGAATATACCCCTGATTTTATGAAAGAAGCTCTGATTATTCTTCAACCTGACCTAGCAAGTCTAAATGTGATTTTCAGTTTTAACAGTTCTGTAGATATCAAAGAGTTTGAAAAACTTGGTCCATTAGGTAATGATATCGCCAAAGGTCTGTTCTCACAGAAATCCTGAACCAGTCAGAGCTAATTTCATTAGTTGAAAATAGTCATAAAACTGGTTGTTGGCGATTTGCACCAATCAAAAACGCTCTGACTGATTTGTGATTTCTGTGACATACAGACCTCAAAAAAAGTAAGTCATTTACTTAGAACAGAGCATTTGGAGTGGATTATTGACTTTATTTAAAACACAAGTTTCTGACACGAAAATATAATTCTAATACTACATTCCACTCTCATCATTGTATTTATATAGCATAATAAATGCCATTCTTCCAATATTACCTTTTGTTGTTGTTCATTCTGGGAAGATTCCACACGGGGTACAGAGACATCGTTAGAGTACAATACGTTGTTGATGTAAGTACCACGAGGGGAGTAGTTAATCAACTCATAACAGTTGTCAAACTGAAAAAATAACTCAAGTTATTGAAATCTTGATTTCAACATACATTTTCGCTCAAATATTACAGTCATGTGCTGATTTAGTGAGATAATATACTGTCAAATTTCACAGTAACAGTTAACTCACCTCATCAAAATGTATAGTAGCGTGCTTGGGTGTAGTATAGTTACAATGCCCATACAATTCCAAATTGACATCATGGGATGAACCTTTGCCTACACTCAATACTCGAAGTCTCATCGCTACAGCTTCGGGAGGTTTCAGAGACGCTGAAGGACGAAAATTCATAAAACTAAAAAAATAAAAATACAAAACTGATTAAATAGATAACATACATTCTCAGAGCTCGATTACTCCTCTATTGTACAAAGCAGAGTAGGACGTAGGTGATTTGATTTTTATTTGAAAAATTGAAAATCATTGAGCTAGTAACAGATTTACTAACTTTATTGAGATAAATTGAGACAAATTTTTGTATATTCCAAAGTGACACGTCTTACACGTGGTAGGGGGTCATCAAGTAGCCCTTTGAATAAATTGATAAATAAATTATTTATTATGTAAGCACAGTGTTGCAATAATGACACAATAAAAATTTTTGAGATAATTGGCTTGCAGTTGCCTTCCTTTACTACAATAATAAGGACAAACAAAAAAAACAAAAAAAACAAACATCCAAACAGAAAGAAGCCAATGATGACAGAGACGCTTAATTAACAAACAATAGTATAACGAAATAATCAAAATACCTATCAAACATAAAACCCTTCAGTAAAGAAAAAAACAAATAACTGCACAATTATTATTCATCAACAAATCCGCCAGTGAATATTATTTGTCTATCTGGTGTCTTCGTTACCCCACTGTTTCTTTGGTTGCCTATCTTGTAAAAAGGTTTTGCAATGGATTATTTCCCAGAAATAAAAATACCCAGCTAAAAATTGAAAAAATTACTCCATAAGTCGATCAAAGAACGTTTATGCCAAATTTGAGCCAATGTAGGTTCCGATTTTTTTTTTTGCACCTTCAAAGCGATTTATCAAAATTACCGATCCTATGATTCACATTTGCGAGGAAAGATTGATTCTCATGTGCCTGCATGCAATACACATTTACCCATTTACTCAACCTTACTATACATAGGACCAATTACGGCTTAAACTCTCATTTCATACAAATAGTTTCTTACTGACTTGAAAAGAACACCTTGTAGTTATTTTTCAATTATTGTACTATCGCGTATACTGGTATACTTTACTTTATAAGTAATTTTCCTGAAAATCTCTTTACATCAGGATTCCTGTGAATTTCTTGTCTTCTATTGTCTGTTTATTGAATTTAATAATCCTATTATTTAATTTTGTACTGAGATGGTAAAAGAAAAATTGGGCTAGTCCCATAAATGAAAAAATATTGTTACTTATACAGGTTCGCAGATAAGTGAGACTACTTTTTCGAACTTTAACGAATTTTATTAAACACAATAAAATAAAAATCCCAATATAAATCTGGATATGAACGTATTGTATTATACATTACAGTAGAGTTATAGTATATACTATGTATGTTTTAATATTCACTTCTCATTTTTGTGAATATTCTCATAACTGTTGACGGCTTTGTTTTAAATTCTGACTTTGAGAAAAAAAATCAGTTGATTTTTATCAATTGATTAACATCATCCTAACCCTGACTAGAACCTCACAAAAAAGTAGAAAAGCGTTACTCACCTATTATCACGCCTTACATACTGAAGATCCACTCCTTCAGCTGTAATATTATAGAAACCCCCAGGCAGTATTGGACAAAGCATCGCCCTTGCTCTAACTGTCGATCCACTAGCTGGTGAGATGTTCAATGCCCTAGTAAATGATAATTGATTATATACCTACTATTGTTGCAAATTATTTACAAGCAATCAAAATAACTAGGAACAGCCTAGGTAGGGTTTTTTTTTGTGACTATTTACCATCTTGTAGGTAACTTTGCAAAAATTCCAAATAAACATTTTTTATCTTCAAGCGGTCTATGATTTAAACTTTATTGTCGTTTACACCTGACACAGACTTGATTCATTATGTACCTGGGATCATAAAGATTTTTGTCTATGGGATGATTTGTTCATTTTTTTCTCGCAAGAGGCAGCAGCGTCAATCAGCGCTATAATGTTCTGGTAATTAATTTTGCGATTTTTTCTCGCTAGATGGCAGTTTCAACGACCAATTTCGAAAATTAGCACAAAAGTTAGCACCAACTTTAATATTGATTTGACATTTGAAATAGACAGATTTGACATACATAGTAAATCATAGTAATTATTAAACCCTCTTTTTTCCGAAAATGGTTGAAAAAGGCAGTGATTAAATTGTGAAAGGAAACAATGCCGCCCCTTGAAGATAAATAAAATGTATGACATTCGTCCTGGAAGGTCTTTTTGTGCTTTGCTCGATTGTAGGCCTCCACTAAACTATGAGCTCAGCACAAAAAGCTTCACTTATCGGCCTATATTTCTTTACCGGAAAAGTCGTTGGATATCGCCAGGAGTCAACAAATCGTTTGGTAGAGGCATTTTTGGCATCTTCAAATTGGAAGTGCCAACAAGTTGCTGCAACCGTTCGTGCGCTAAAAGCTTTATCAACTGTTGGTCATATTGTTTTGAGTCTGGCCCTGATCCTAGAAAAAAATACTACCATTAGGTAAAGCATACCAGGAGAATGAATCACATTAATTGACGTTTTAATATCTCAATTTTCCATTGGATTCAATAAAATATATTTTGGTCTATTATAATTCCTAGATATTTTATATAATGGTCTACCAGCATCGGTTATTGAGAAGGAAATGTACTTGTTTTCTGAGTATTCAATGAAAGTTTAAATTAATCGCCTATTTTGATCTTATTCATGTTGATCTTGATTGTATTGCTCGAAAGAAGCAAACCTATCTTCAAGCAAAGGCAGAAGTACAAAGAAGGACAAGAATTTTAAAAAACCAGTGGTGGAAAACGAATTCAATTGAATTGAATCATTTAGCAGCTGGAAACAATACCAGAGCCTTCTTTAGTGCCACAAAAGCAACTTATGGTCCTCTACAAAAGGTCTTAATCCCCTTAGATCTAGAGATGGGAGCCAGCTACTCAAAGATCCCGCTTCTATCAACTCCCAATGGAAGGAGCATTTTCCGGCCTGAACAGAGATTTCCACGTAGATGACGAGGTTTTCAACAGAGTTCCTCAAAGCCCTATTCAAAACCATCTGAGTGGCGTTGCTTCCCATCATCGATAGGTTGAAAAAGCTATCAACAGTGAAGAATAATGAAGCGACTCACCTTCAAAGCTGAAATGTCCATCCATAATGTTTTCAATGACAATCTTTTCCTTTTCCAAAATCCCTACTGCACTGATGCCATCGTTCGGTGAAGTAGGAGTGTCAACTGCATTATCAAATTCAGTGGAGGGCGCAATAGTTTCGTTTTTGTTGTCACTGAAAAATAATGTAATAAGTAGTTAATCAAAAACAGTAAAAATTAAATAAAAACAATTACCTACTACATGATTTGCTATCCTCCACCTCTCTCTCTTCAACATTCTCAGGACCTACCAATATTGTTTCAGCTTCTACATCAGCATTTTGCCTTGTACATTCTTCATTATTTTCATTTATTTCCAATTTCAAAAGAGCCTAAACACATTTTTATTTAGGTATCATGTATCAGTTAACTTTCATACTCTGAAAACTATTACTTCTCTGAACTTTTTTCGCTTATGGACATACTCCAAACGTAGCACATCCCTCAAACTTGGCAGCAACCGAACAGGGTTCTGATAGTGGTGCTTTACCATTCCTGGTGGTTGCAACTAAAATGGCACTGTTTGAGACTTACGTACTGAGGTCAATTATACTACCTTAGGCTTTTGTGGAATAGGCTTTTTAAAAGTGAAAGGTGGATTTTCCCTGTGAATTTTCCGAAGAAAATCGCGTTTGACTTTGTCCTCATCGATGGGCTGCCTCGCATATTTCTCCCATAAGGCAATGCGTTCAGACAGCGAACAAGATGTCAACAATTTGGAGTCCTATTAGAATAAAATTTTGAATTATTTCAACACCCTATCTACATAGGATATTTGAATGCACCCTTGAAAGAATCCAATCCATTGGTTTTTTGTTTATTATGTTCTTGATTAATTAGATAAATACGAGTATTTTGATTTTGTCTGTCTAGCTGTGTTAATTCTATTGTTGAAGTATCTATTGTAGTTTACACTGTAGTTTTTTAGTGTACCTATAAACTAATCATAATATTATGCTAATGAAAAGTGGCAAATCCGTTAATAAATAAATAAATAAATAAATAAATTCTGAATTTTGGTATTATATGGAAAGCAACACACTTGGTAAGTCCGCTCATTAAAACCAAAGAAATCAGTTAAGTAGGGGAGCCAAAAAAATAATTTCTCAGGAGGGATTTAGGTACCCCAAAGGCAAACTTTTTTGTTTTGTTTTCTTACAATTTACCGAGCAATTTACTGCCAAACAGTTGATATTATAAAAAAATGTCCATGTCTGGTGTATGAAAGTTATGTGCACCTTTCAACCATTGAACGGCACCAACTACAGTATAACAAGTCTTATTGCTCTGCCCACGCTCAGCTCGGGCACTCAAGCGAGAGCAATTTCACTTAGACGTGACATGATCTACCAGAACTCGAATTATTGGACTGCATTCGCACAACGCGAGCTGAGTGCTCACTAGTGCATGTAGTAGAATATGCATTAATTAAGTGCATATTAAATTCCTTATTTAATTTAATAAATATTAATATATATTTCAGCCCTGACAGTGCACCGATGGTACATGAAGAAAACAACTCTCCTATTTCTTTGGCCGATAAAAAACCGTGAATTGGTATTGCAACTAAATGTTATCATTATTTTTAATATGGAAATTATGCTATGTAAAGGGTGTTTTTTTAGAGGTTTGTTTTTCTACCTGATAACACTGTTCCTAGTGACAGTATATTTGACAGGTGACAGCTCATTTCCGTTCATTATATCTTGCCATTTCATTATGAAAAGACTTACGCCAGAGCAACGCTTGCAAATTGTACAAATTTACTTCGAAAATCGTGATTCATTTCGCGAAACTTCCGCTATGTACGTTACGTCCATTTTACGGTCGACATAATCGTCCATCCCAGCAAGTTATTCGGACAACCATGAATCGTTTTTGCACTACGTATACTCTGATTGATAATCCAGAAAAACTCCTTGCTTGGTGTGCTTGTTGGGTTAGTGGAATCATTGGCCCATATTTCTTTAAAAATGATGTCAGCCAGAACGCGACAGTCAATGGAGAGCGGTATCGATTCTTGATTACTGACTTTCTTGTTCCCCAGTTGAATGGCGTAAGTGTGGAAGAGTTCTGGTTTTCGCAATGAACTTGTGAATTGGCCTCCACTGTGGTGTGATCTCACACCTATGGATTCAATTCTGTGGAGATATGTGAAGTCGCTAGTCTACGGTAATAAACCAACAACGTTGAATCGGTTGGAAGCCAACATTTGTCGTGTTATTGCCAGTTCCCAGATATTCGAAAAAGTGGTCCAAAATTGGACTCCCAGACTGAGCTTCGTTCGAGCCAGTCGCGGCGCTCATATGCCCCAAATCATTTTTAAGCACTAATGGCATGAAATTAACTTTCTATTAAAGTCAATATCATGGCCGTTTACATGATTTTTATGAGTTTTATTCCAGTTCAAAGTTCTATACCTCTAAAAAAAAACACCCTATATAAAGTACAACTACAAAAAAGTGATCCTCATAATTTTTGATGAAATCAATATAAATTGTTAAGGAAATATATTTTTGGGTCTCCTTCAATAATTTATGCGGTCCTACATAGTATGTGTATGAAGTGTGTAGCTTTCACCATTAAATGCCGTAAAATCGGATGTAGCTATCCGACTAGAGTGTATAATCCCTGATTTAAAAATAAATAGGATATGCTTTGTGGAAACAAGCAACTTGAAAACAGATATATCGAACGGTGGTTATGCTTACCACAATGTGTTCAACATGAAGCGGGCACATCCACATAGAGGTAGGAGCAGCTGTTAATGGTGGATCGAGACAATCCAAGTGGAAATAATAATCGCAATAGTCACACGCTATCAGTGACGCCAACCTACATGACGTTACGCATACCTGGCATTTTTTCCCAGGTAACGGCACTAAGCCGTTAGGTAGTTTTTCATGTTCACGATGTTTGGATTTTTTTTGTTTGGAGCTGTCAACTGAAAATTCATCATTTTTATTTTTTTTAAGTAAAATAATGTCAAGTAGGCATGCAATAGGAGTCTATAAAAAAACTGAAAAAAAAAAACCAATACCTATGCCAGCTAATTTTAAATATACCCACTGGATTGTTATACTGTTACTTACTTTTATCTGATCCAGGAAATACTATATGATTCACCTGCAATTCTCTTGGCAATTCAAATTGAACAGGATTCATACCTTTGGCAAGTTCAATCAAATATTCCAGTGGATTCAGTGGAGTAGGAGATTTTTTTGTAGATTTTGTTGCTAAAAGACAAAATCCATAATATGATTTTGAGGCGCTTCTACAGAAATCACAATTCGGTCAAAGCAATAATATTGATTGGTCCAAATTTGAACTGACACTGGGGTGTTCAAACAAAGTGACTGATTTCTGTATTACTAACAAGTCTTTATTGTTTACCAATATCTGGTCGTTTTTTCGCAGATTCCTTTTTATATTTGCAGCTGTGACATAACCATTTGCCCTCAGGGATGTCGTCAAAGCTTAGAGGGGGATCATGACAAAGTAAGTGGAAGCTGCAAGGACAAACGTCACAGCAGATGAGTTCCCCGCCCTCATTGCAGGAGCTACAGAAGTCGTGGTTATGGCCTTTGCCTGGTCGTTTAAAGTAGCGATGTTCTTTTTGCTTCTTGTCATCCTTTTTGCTGGTTTTGCTACTGCTACTCTCTGGTGGGGCAATCAAGGCTTGGATTTCCTTAAAAATGTAAAGAAAACGAATAAAAGCTTACTAATTGAATTTGAATGTAGAACAAATTTGAAAATATCCAAAAACAAGAAGGTGTCAAATGAAAAGAATAGTATTTGCTGACTCCAATATTTCTATTTCAAAAGTACCTAACACACAAATGATCAAAAATGATGAAGAACACAATGTAGATAGAGTATGACGTCTGGATACAGGGTGGGGCATATACAGTACCTGCGGAAAAGTCTGCACCATATGGGAAATTTTTTTATGCTCATCCTTACTTCAAATCGGTTTTCGGCATTAGGTTCTGCATGACTGAAAACCAAAAAAATACCTAAAATTTTTGACTTGAGTTTGCCTCAAATGCCATTTGAAAATTTCAACAAGGAAAAGTGGCATTTTTATAAAAAATATGAAAAAATTTTATAAGAAAATATTGTTCCAAATGACATTTAGGAGTAGTTTATAAACAAACAATTTGAAATTTCAATTTGAGAAATCTAAAATTTTCAAAATAGTCCAGAGGCGTATCAAAATTTTATTAGAAATATTTCTTTTCGATGTTTAAACTCTTAATTAGATTATAAAGATTTCAAAAACCATTACTTAGTCAGATACAAACTAATTATTTTAGAGGAATGAGGAATGGTCGCGAAAGAAATCCTACAAATATTATTTTTCCGTAGATATTCGAAAAAAATTTAAAAAAAAAATCTTTTTTTTTCAAAGTAAAAATACCAAATTAGACTAAAAATGTCATTTGGAAAAATATTTTCTTATAAAATGTTTTCATATTTTTTATAAAAATGACACTTTTCCTTGTTTGAAATTTTCAAATGGCATTTGACAGGTGTGAGGTAAGTATCGAGTCAAAAATTTTAGGTGTTTTTTTGGTTTTCAGTCATGCAGAACCTAATACCGAAAACTGATTTGAAGTAAGGATGAGCATAAAAAAAATTCCCATATGGTGCAGACTTTTCCGCGGGCACTGTATACCTTTAATGTATTGCTAAAGGAAAAGAAAGAATTCTGGGTAGTGGTCTGTAGTAATAGATAATTGCTTTTAATTCTCAGGATTCCATAAGGAAAAAACTAATTTAATGAAGCCAGCATAAAAACATCAAAACCCTAGAAAAGGGCCAAGTAATTTTTTGTGTTGTAAGGTCAAAAGCATAGCTCGGTCAGTAGTTTTGGGTTATACCTCATATATATTTAAATAAATTCTGACACTCTAATGTAGCACTACCATTACTGAGAGCTACTTACTTCTTGATAGATTACCTCAAGTTCAATAAGCTGGTTAATTTTCCCACCAACACAGAAACAGCCAGAGCTCACTGCTGAACTTGGTGTTCGTAAATGATAAAAAAACTTAAGTATCACTTATGGTTCCAGTCACTTACTGACTTTTTCTGGAGAAGGTATCTTTCAAAGCCTGAATATTATGAACGAGATTGTAAGTGATAAATTGAAAATAAAATTATGCTTTTTTTCTAGATAATTTGTCCACATAAATCCTTGGTAATGGTAATAAATAGCAACTTATTGTGGTTGACATATTTGAGGATGAATTGAGTCGTTTACAGGTTGTGTGCTACCTTGAGTCGCAACTCAGCACACACCTCATTGTTTAAAATATTCAAATGATAAAAAATGTCATAGCAACGACCTAGAGAAAAATTTGCTCAAATTAATCTGGCATTTTGAGCGTTGTACTGTTGTATCCACCATAGCTGTATCAGCTCAACACATGTGCTTTTGTATCGATTAATGAATCTCGTAATGGAATATTTTGCAGGTCAGCATCAAATTGACTATCTCTGAACCTTTAAATTATGGGCAATTTTGAATTACAATGTGTTGAGTATCTACCACTTTTATAATTTTGATTTATTAAGAGAAGATCTGGTTAGCAGAGTGGAAATGATCACGGTGATCCTAGTAGGTCCATTTACGACTTGCTAGAACCCAAATGTTAAAAAAATCGAGGAAAAAGTGGTGTTATTAGATTAGAAGAACATAGAACACAGACAATCTTGAGAATGTAGTTAAGCCAAAGAAAAGACGTAAGTATTCCGTATGATAGAAAATTAGTAATTACACACAAAAACTTATGGACAGGCAGAAGTTCGACTTACATCCATCAGCCCTCCAGAAGTGTCCAGATCATATATACAGCCCGGCGACGTCATTATCCTATTGTATGTAGAAGAATGAGGTGTTTTTACTTCAAGTTTAAATAAATACTTGGCTAAACCGGAACAACGAACAAGGACAAACAGAATTGGCAAATTGTTTAATCTAAAAAATTTAAATGGCAAACAAAACAAGAAGTAAAGGGTAAATAAATCCTTGTCACTTGTCACAGTTGTCAGTCAGGTTTCTCCGAGGGGTATCATTTGTCCTGTCCTGCTTGCTCCAAGCAGATTAGTTCCGTTTGTCGTTCGGATTGTCGGCATCTTAGGTCGAAATCGAAAAAGATCGTTTTCCGTTGTTTGCTGTTCAATTCGTTGTTCTGGGCCGCTTTCCAGTGACGAATTCTGAAGTGCTCCACACCCGTAGCTTCACTTCACACATTTGTGTCACTGGAACGCACCCTACTTGAAGCGGCGTGTTTTTGATGCACCTATAAAATTGTAGGTGTTTGCGAGGGCAGGGGAAAGGAAAAACAAACAGAGCTGTGCAAACAGTTCAGTTGCTCGAAACCCTAATGCACTGGAACGCCTATAAACAGACTGGGGCGCCCTAGAGCAGCTCTTGAGTATAATAATCAAGCTTCAGTTGTATTCCTATCACACCTAGGAAGAGCTCCGGAACAGCTCCGGGGCGTAACGCGCTTATTCCTTCCGAAAAGTTTTTGTTGCACCCAATAGTTGTATTCCTTTCACACCAAGGAGGAGCTCCGGAACAGCTCCGGGGCTTCACGCGCTTATTCCTTTCGAAAAGTTTTTGTTGCACCACGCATATGTTCCCTGCAAATCGGGGGCGACTATGCACCGAAGCGAGTAGCTCAAGTGTTTCAAGCTCTTGAAAGCAATACAACTATTGAACTATAGTTAAAAACTGGAATGCGCACACATTAGTTGTATTCCTTTCAAGAGTTTGAAACACTCGAGCTACTCGCTCCGGTGTTCAGGAGCCCCCAATTTGCAGGGAACAGATGCGTGGTGCAACAAACACTTTTCGAAAGGAATAGGGGCGTGAAGCCTCGGAGCTGTTCCGGAGCTCCTCCTAGGTGTGAAAGGAATACAACTATTGCCATATCTGCCAAAAAAATGTAGCCATGAAAGACAGATGCCACAAAGGGGATTGTTGTTTTTTTTCTGTTGCTCGCTGATATATGATGTTTTGGAAAGTTTTGTCATATTTACCTTCACAGGTTTCATCAATTGGAATACGTGTTGGAAGCAATTTCCGCCATTTAACATAATGAGTGCGACAAAAACAGGTATCCCCTCCGCAGCAGCGGCACTAGGCTTCACGTTCGTCAATATGTGTTCGCATTCCAGTTTTTGGTTATAGTTCATTGGTTGCACCTGAGTGCTCAAGCCCGACTCAAACCATTAATGCCCGATTGCACCGTCTCTCTTAACCGAGGCTTAGAGATAACTATTCCTTAAAGTGACATTTTCCCATGCAAAACTGTCAATTTAAGGGATAGTTATCGTTAAGCCTCAGTTAAGAGAGGTGGTGCAATCGGGCATAAGGGTGGGTATTATAAAACTGCGTTGACAGTTAACTTAAAGTTAACTTCTGGAATTACATGTAATTCCAAAAGTTCAACTACTCAAAGTAGTAGTTGAACAACTGCTTTGACAGTTAACTTGAAGTTAACTTTTTGAATTACATGTAATTCCAAACGTTAACTTTAAGTTAACTCTCAAAGTAGTTTTATAAGGGCGGGTATTATAAAACTGCTTTGACAGTTAACTTGAAGGTAACTTTTTGAATTACATAATTCCAGAAGTTAACTTTCAAAGTAGTTTAATAATACCCGCCCTAAGGGCGGTTACACACGGACGTGGATGTCTTAATACATATACGTGCATACATCAACGTGCAATAACAACAACCTGCATGGCGCTTTTGTACAGACGCTCGCACAAAACTGCAGTCTTGCTTTTAGGCGGTTACAAACGGACGTGGATGTCTGAAAACATGTACGCACATACATGAACGCGCAAACAAAAACATCAATGTGTATGCAAAATACTGTCGCGTTTTTGAATGTGCAATTTTGTATGCACACTCGGAATACTGTAGCAAAAATAGCAAGACTGCAGTTTTGTGCGAGCGTCTGTACAAAGGCGCCATGCACGTTTTTGTTTGCACGTTGATGTATGCACGTATATGTATTAAGACATCCACGCCCGTGTGTAACCGCCCATTCTTGCTACGGCGTTCCGAGTGTGCATACAAAATTGCACATTCAAAAACGCGACGATATTTTGCATACACATTGATGTTTTTGTTTGCACGTTCATGTATGTGCGTACATGTTTTCAGATATCAACATCCGTGTGTAACCGCCTTATAGGTAGCATTCCGATCCGCGACCGAGACCGAGCGACCGCGACGTGCGACCGCTACGGACTGCTTTGATAGATTTGTAGGCAGTACAGACCGATGCAAGCGACACGCGACCGGTAGGCGGGCCCAGCTTGCGACAACGGTCTCGCGACCGGTCTGCTGTAGAAGCAGTGGTGCTGAACAGTGAAAACTTTTTAAAATGGCAAAGTTTTCTGCCCAGGAGGACGAGTTGTTAGTAGATTGTATCTATAGCCGCTTTCCAGATGTGTGCTTCAAGCACGGTGCAGCATAGTGTTCTGTGTTTGAAACGCAAAAGTTAGCAGCTCTCGAAACGCGCAAAAGCTCGATTGCGTGCTCAAAAGCATCAGCTGGAAAGCGGCTATTTACTAAACTCAGTACAAAATTGAACTGTTTATGATTTAGGGGGGTATTATAAAAGTACTTTGAGAGTTAACTTAAAGTTAACTTCTGGAATTACATGTATTTCAAAAAGTTAACTTCAAGTTAACTGTCAAAGCAGTTTTATAATACCCGCCCTTAGTCTTTAATACTTCCTGAACTTTCCATCCCATGTTCCATCTTTTCACTTCAAATGTCTTTTTTTAAGATAAGCATTTAGATGCATGTCCCTCATATGATTTTGATGTGTAGGTACATTAAATCAATTTTTAGTCTTTTTCCTGGCGGTAACGTCAACAGAATTACATCATCTTCTGCTTCGTCTTCCAATAAACGTTTTCTTAAATGTTTTCTTATTTTGGTATGTTTGACGAGGTTACTGCAAGTTCACACCAATGCAAAATGCAGCAGTATTTTGGGGCCATATTATTCTAAATTATACTGTGCGTTCGTAATTTAGCATATAAAAAGAATAAAAGAGATTTCTAGAAAAACCTCGGACACTAATTTTAATTTAGGAGAACGTCTTTTTCACTATTTGTATACCTAGTTGTTATAATTCCAGAAGTTAACTTTAAGTTAACTCTCAAAGTAGTTTTATAATACCCACCCTTAATCAGACAGAGACAGAATCAAGACAAGAATCACATGCTAAAGCCTAGTACTCATAATCGCGAAATTCTCTCTTTTTTGACATTGCTTCGACAATTTGACGTTTGATTCACGCATAAAACGTCAAATTGGCGAAGCAAGGTCAAAAAAGAGCGAATTTCGCTGTTATGAGTACTAGGCTTAACACACGGCTTAACATCAGGGATGTGCGTCTACACGTAGACTTTCATTGTCTACTTTACGTGTAGATAATGTAGACAATGTAGACAACGTGTCAACAATAGGCATTTTTTAGCGAGTTCCCGTTAGTTCCCGTGTTACAAGCGGTTACAGGAAATATATAACCGATCCGTTTTTGCGAGAAAACGGTAATAGGGGAAGGTGTTTTGCTGTCATAAAGTAACGTCATCATTCTATAACACGGTTATTGATTGTTTTTGATACCCAAGTCGAGAGTTGAGTAACTGAAAAATTCTAACCTCAGATTCATTTGTGATTGTTTTGATCTGTAAAAGTGAGTTTTTTTCTGAGGTTTTTTTGTTATTGGAGGATATCAAAAAATGGCAGATCTCGCATTATGGTCCATAAGCTGTCTCTCATGATTTTCTCGCAATATATATTTCAAGGGACCACTATGCTTGATTCGATAAGACTTGGAAATTATTAGAATATACAGTGTTTTCAAACATAATATCGCCAATTAGTAATAAGGACTTCATTTGACTCAATTTCTTTTATGTTTACCACAAAATATAAACTAACCTCACCTTACTGTAAAATTTTGATAACCGTTCCGTTTTAGCGAGAAGCGGTTTAATCCTAGAAATCTGCCAATGGTAGGGATATATTTTTGAAGTGGGAGTTTTACCGTGTATAACCGCACGGGTTATAAACGGTTATGGGTCTGTTCCCACAGGAGTCTCCGACAGTTTGCAAACTGTCAGTAAGCATCGCCCATACATGTTTTCAATGCTGTCGTTCCAAGATTAATCTGTAACTCAGCTGAGCGATTGTTTCTGACAGGTTGCAAACTGTCAGAGACTCCTGTGGGAACAGACCTTATTACTGGGATCTCGCTAAAAAATGCCTAATGTAAAATAATATAAATGACGTTTAATTCTAACCTCACACTTTGTTTTTTTTTAAAATTATTTTTTATTTTATTATTGGTTTTCTTGATATTTTATAATCAGTGAATGCTCATATCGAAGTGATAGTGATAGTATAGTAACTTTTGATATTTTTTTCGAATTTTTTAGAATAAGTTATTGTTTACGCCGCATGTAGACATTGGGTGGTATGAATAAAAACTGAGTTTAAACTCGGAGTATATACTCGTGAGCATGAGTATGAAGTCTGAGCTTATACTCCATTTCGTAAGAATAAAAAAGATTTCGGTTTGATAAGTACATACTCCTAGTACATAGAGTAGATACTCAACATTTTATTTTGCTTGCCACCGCTCTTTTGCTTCTATATCCTACTCACAATCTGATGTCCACAGGTACAGGTAAATTTATCACGTTTCCCTATCAAATAGCATTGAAAGGTGATACATTTTACCTGTACCTGTGGACATCGGATTGTGAATGGATAATATTATATCCGCAGGACTGCGGGGAAATTTGATCCACCGTTCACTTTGCTTATTTATCAGCTACCTACTTCTGATACAACTTTAGACACCGAAGTTTGGTGAACACCGACATCCTCTCCTACTCCTGCCTGAAAGCCCGGGTCACCCACGTATCTTAAAAATATTTTAACTTTGTCTTTGTTGCATAAAGCACCACCTCTTCTTTCTCCAGACTCTTCACCCAAAAATTGATTTGATAACCAACCACTCCACAATTTCTTTACTAAACGGGTACAACGTTTTAAAGTCCCGATCACACGTATTTTTTCTAGCTTTGTAAAATTTCTCCGAACGCAGGTTAAGATTGAAGAACTCTGCCATAGCTCTGCGTTCTACCGAGGGAAAATCGGTACTGAAATAACTTGAAGCAGAAAGTTGAGTCTACTGCATAGCAGACTCTAAAACTATGGAGTAGATTCTCCTGCCGAAGAGCACAAACAATTTTTTATTCATACCAGAAGTGAGAATCTACTCATACCAAATTATACATAGGAGTACCTACTCAAGCGAAATATCTGCTCGTAGTTTTTATTCATACCACGTGGAGTATTTACTCCAAAATTTGGAGTAGAAACTAAATGCTCATTTTTATTCATACCACCCAATGTGTAGACAAATGCTCACGTAAACAATTCGAATTGTCTACGCGTAGACAATCAATTGTTTACGTTGACATTGTCTACAGGCACATCACTGCTTAACATAACCCGAAGCTTAGTTAGTTCATAAATTGCATCATTCAAGAATCACTCATAATGAACGAATCACTTTTGGCGAACGACTCAAATGAATTAATTCAGCAAAAAGATTCAAAACGCCCAGGTCTACTAGTCAGGAAGTCCGAACGGCTTTTCCCTCCAATTTAGCAGCGCCACATCCTATTGAACCTCAATACATGTGCAGTGTTGCCAGTCGCCTGATAATTGTCGAAATCTACAATAATTTTGTCTAGGATTCAATGATATTGACATGACAAACTACACTGATCTAGATGGCAGTTATATGTTGGATTCTTAGATCACAGTTTCGGAGAGCTCTGGGATGGATTTATCCAATTGTTTGGATTCATTGGAGACCTTATCCTAGAAAAAAATGTAGGAAGGTGGTTAGCATGCTTGGTTGGATGGTTAGATGACATCAAGACAGAATAGAATAGCGTGGAGACAAATATAAAATAAGGCCTATGTTCAGGAGTGGACAAGGAGTTACTGATTGATTAAAAAAAAAAGAATCTAATCTACCATTGTCCATCATTTATTGAAAGTACAATTAGAAGTATTAAAACACAAATTGATGAATTTGCTTATTTTCTCAAAAAAATAGCTCGAGAAATCTGGGAGCACAGATTTTTTATATCTCTGCTGGTTTTCGATGTAGCCCATTAAAACATCGAAAATGGGCCACCCTGAACATTACAAAAACGTGGTTTAACTTGAAAAAATGTGGATGAAGAAACAGAGGCTTGTTAAGTAGTATTGTAAATAAGATTATTACTTAATATTGGATTTTTACTGTTAGGATAAGGATTTCATTTCAAAACATTTTCATGAAAATAGAGATAAAAAATTCAAACAATTTTTGCTGACAATTTCAAAAATTGTAAACTTAATGTTTGGCAACACCGGACAGGGCAGTCAGGGGGGGACAAGGGACAATAATTGACAGGGCATTTTTGTTTTGGTTGAAAGTAATTAATTGTTAATAAAATTGTGTGATTTAATAACACGGAGCTAATCAAACTTTTCCGGGAAAAAACTCAGGCGGAAAATGTTATCCACCACTCCTAAAAGAAATAATGTTTCGAATAATGGTGACAGTGATGTGCCAGGGACACCAGTGACACCACACAGTCGTGTTTTGAAGGTTTCCTGCTTTAATATCGGAGACAAAGCATTGGAAAATGAAAGCAGCCCAAGCTTGGACTTAGAAAAGACTCTTTTATCGCCTGGGGAAGCGAGACGAGGAAGGCCTAGGGCTGATCTTTTGAATACGTTAATTTTGGAAGGGGCAACGTCTCCTAGTTCAATCAAATGCACCTATTGTAATCGTGTTTTTCCTAGAGAAAAATCCCTGCAAGCTCATCTAAGAACCCATACAGGTGAGGATATATTGAACTTTAAATAGTACCGTTATTTAAATGTCTTGATTATTTAATCGACGCGTACCTTTTAATGTAACATTATGTTTTATATGCTTCTGAGTCTACGTCTGTTTACAAAAGTTTTTTATTTCTCAGTAGAAGCCAATTTAATTATGATCATAGCCACATTATTTACACTCGGATGAAGTTTTTGATGTGCCTGGCATTTAGTTGTACAAGTCAGTAGTCAGGCACTTACTTTAAAAATTTGAAAGCTCAACTAAAACTGGACAGGGTTGGGGCAAAATGCCAAAGGAATTTCGAGGCATAGTTAGGTACAGTAGTGTCGCGATAATCCGGATCAATTAAAACCAGACCAATCCGGATTATCAAATTATTCGGATTACTAAAGCATTTTACAGTCCGCTTTTAAAACGATTTTGAAAAATAACATGCTGTATTTAAGCAAAAAAAGCTTTATATTTATTTGAAAAACAAGACAAATGAAAAAAAAAATTCTATATGTATAGAGTGCAAAATATGTAAAAGTGAGTGTAAAAATAACGAGAAAAATAACTAGTCAATATTGTTCCAACTTTCGTTCACATTATTTTCACCATTTGAATTTTGTCCACCTTCTACATTTTTTCGCACCGCTTGGAAGAAGTTGTTGATTTTACTTTGATGACTACTGTGCTGTTGAGACTCTGTGTCAGGTAGAATTCTACATATCGACAGGATTCTATAGACTCGGCACACTGTGCGGCATGCGATATATCAAATCAAATCAAATCAAACTAAGCTTTATTGTCTAAAAAATATCATTGTTTTTCATTGACAAAGCAAAATTCTTATTACTAATTAATTCTAAGTAAATTAAGTCAAATTTTTACCACAATTATGAACCTTAAAAAAGACAAAAATCACAAATCAAATCACTAGTTCAAAATATAAACTTATGGTGCAAATTAGGTTAATAAACATAAATAAGAACTTTACAAGAAAAAAAAAAACAGAATAAATATAAATAAATAAATAAAATTTAACTTTTTAGTCATCAGTATAAAAATAAAATAAAAAACAAACAACAAAGAGAAAAACATCTATGTGGTAAAAGTAAAAAACAAACTATAATTCCAAAAACTTTTTGAAAATTCAAAAATTTGTTTGACTGTTTTGTGAAGGGAAGGCCAAGACGCACTCAGCGCATTGTATTCTATAACTCAACATGTACCAAAACCCATAAAAATTATACCCTATTTTCCAATTCGATCCTCTACCTAACACACATGATCATAAAATTCCTTAAGACTATAAAAAGCTTTAGTGACTAGATGTTGCCCGACTAATGAGCGAAATATATCGTATCTGTTACAGTTCTTTATTTGTTGAGGTAGATGATTAAACATAAAAACCAAAGGTTCACTATTTCAATACTTCACCAAACAAATCATAATTATTGAATATATGTCAATGATCTTTTTGAAAAAATTAGGACAATAAAGCTTATTGGAATGTTTTACATTCCCTTGCAAACACATTTTTGCTCGGATTGTTCCTTGCTGCTTTTATATTGCAAGGTAGCATATTATATATTTTGGGTGCCAAATAGTCAAACAGCCTCAGGTTAATGCTCTTATGACTTACTGGAAAAGTAATATTTTTATTTTCTTTATTTCTTGTGTGATACTGGTGATTAACAATGTTTTGCAAGGAATCACGTGAATGCATGGAATTGCGTAACGTTGACATTTTTATATAGTTCTAACATTGCAAGCATCATACCTACATACCTAAATAGTAGTCTTGTTGGACACATTTCTATTCTTATTATAAATAATTTTCAGTATTTTCTTTTGAACTATATTTAATTTGTACAATTCATTATTATGTAAGCCACCCCTGACCAAAATTCCATATTTTAACAGTGATTCAATAAATAATTTATTAAACTAAATTTTGCCATATCCAGACCAATCATAGAAAAATACTTGTTCATTTTTACTCTGGTTTTCATTTGTACATTCCTTTATAATACAATATAGTTTCTTTATATTGTTTTTGTTGCTATTAATTTCTTTTCGGTAATATTCATTTTTTTGTTTAACAATTAGTTTTTGTTGATAGTTCTGATATGACTTATATTCTTTTTCTAGTTCTATGCTGTAATTTTTTAACAATTTTCGCTTTAATCTATCCCTCTGTTTTATAGATGCTATCAATCCATCAGTTATCCATGTCTCACATTTTATCATGGAGATCTTTCGTAAACTCAACCTTCGTAATTGGTGGTGGTTTATATACCGCAACAATACCCATTGAACTCTCACCTACCCTACGTTCCAAGCGACCTAATATTGCTTTGGACAATGGGAATTTCACAATAGAGAAATCTGCCTTTATATCATCTCTTGATGATTTGATTGATTGATTGTTTGACATCATTAAAATATGTTTTATAACCTGGAATATTACAATTCATATTTTTTTTTTTTAAAGAAGTTTATTTCTGACCTTTAAACAGTTGTAATAACTGATACCAAGGCTTAACATATTTTACAACTGTAAGGTGATGACAGATTGATACTTAAATCTAAAATACTTCAATCATATGACATTGTATGGTATGTGTAACATGTAGGTTTGATATAGTGAACAGGGAATATAAGAAATATATTGTATATATTTAAATATATAATACATGTATCTCTAGAAGCTTCACTCAGAACAAAAACAAGGGAGCAGCATATATTAACGATAACAAAAATGTATTTAGCAACCCATCACTCTAAGAAAACGGAACCCAATTTTAAAGGGTGCTAAGTCCTTAGGCCTTGCGGCTGTAAATTCAAGAAAGACCTTGAACATTGTGTAACAACTCTCAGGCCCTCAAAACAATCATTAAAATTTAATTTTGGTAACTTATTTGTTCTTTTTAGGTGAAAAGCCCTATGTCTGTGACTACCCTCGGTGCTCCAGAAGATTTGCTCAATCTGGTCAATTAAAAACACACCAGAGACTCCATACTGGTGAAAAGCCATTTGTTTGTGGCGCTCCAAACTGTAAAAGACGTTTCACGCATGCAAATAGACATTGTCCAGACCATGCAGAAACTCCACTCAAAAGATTTATCACCAAACCAGAACCAAGCCTTAATAAATCCTATGATGAAACTCACACTGCTGAAATCAGAGAATGGTTGCAAAATTATGATAAAAGAAACAAAAACTCACCAGAATGTAATGAAAACCTTTATGCAACCCCAAAGAAATTGAGGAGAGAAGATTTTGACTTTAGCAGTGGTAGTTCCGCATATTTTTCAGGGTCTTCACAAAATGGCTTAGACCTTGAAACCTCACCAAAATGTGATCTGGATGATCTGGAAACTTCTATTTGTTGTATTTCTGGAAAGTCGGAAAGTGAAATGCTCAGTGAAATGCGAGGTGAAATGAGTCCAGGTCGGGGTCCAGGTAATACCAAACAAATTATTATATAAATTGTAGGTAGTTATTATTAGGTATTTAATTTTTTTATTTATTTAGTTAGTTGAAATAAATGTGGAATTTATTCCACAATTTCAATTTACTTACATTTTTTTCCATCACATTAGCTCTACAGGTTATCCGGAAATAAATGCAACCGAATTTGACCACAGACCCTTGAAGAGAATTTTAGATAACCAGTATTTTTTGTTTTTGTTAACTGGCCCCCTTTTGGGATTTCAAGCTCTTCGAAATTCGCTTCTAAGACTAATATTTTTTTCTCAGAACCGTGTGGTAGGTTGTAGCGGTTTTATGACATGTGGAATCAGATAGTATTATGGTTTTAGGGGAGGAACCTTGTCAAGACACTTTTTCCTGAGCCACTTTGTCTTTGGAGCCCAAAACTTTTGTTGCATAAATAATAAAAAATTTAAAAAAATTATTATCCTTTTAGAAAGCCCATTAAATTAAGATTTTTTTTGTCTTTTAAATTTTTTTAGTTCAACACAGTGTTTTATGTTAGTTTTTAGGGTTGCTTGAGATTTTAGACTAAAGCAACCTCGAAAGCAACTCTGAAAACTAATACAGTGAAACTTTTCTAACTCGAACTTCCCGAACTCGAAATATTCTCTAAATCGAATATTCTTCACAAACAAATAGGTTTTCACAACCTCATTATGTATTTTTTTCCCCATAAGTCGAATGTCTAATCTCTATAACTCGAATATTTCTAAAACTCGAACTAAAATTTAGTGGCAATCCTGACGACAATAAGCGTAACTCGAATTTTTCGGGGAAGCACCCACTGCATTTAGTGCACTTGGAAAAATTACCGTTTCTCAGTGGCCAGCGACGACAGATTGACTTGTCTTGGTTTAGATAATTTATATGGAATTACTTTCTTGTAATACATATATAATATAAATTTAAATATCCTCAATTTTGTGTATTTTTCCATAAATCGAATTTTTCGTAACTCGAACTCGACTTCCTGTCCCTTGAGGATTCGAGTTAGAGAAGTTTCACTGTATACAGACCGCTTAATATCATTTGATTAACTTATTTATATAATATCATATACATATACTTAATAATACATGATGAGTTAAAAAAATACATGCCAAATTATAATAAACATTTTGTTTTTACAAGAATCTGTAGAAACTTCACAGCCAAGGCCATCTGAGTTACCCAAAAAGAGATGGTTGCGAGTAGCAACTCAAGAACAAAGGATGTGGGATTCTACTGACCTAGCATCACCTTTAAATTGGGGTGAAGATAATAGTGCCGATACTAAAGAACAGAAGGAAGATCCAGAAGCTGTGGAACGGAATAGGGAAAATCAGAAACGTCCATCAGTACTGGTCTGTGTACAAGGAGGTAATATAATGTTTATATAACTTACAAACAATACCCTCCAATCTCATTGTAGAGGCATAAATCGCAAACTTCTAAGTTAAGGGTAATTGTTTATCCATTACACTTCAAACCAATATGTTTTTTAAATTATAATATTATGTAATAGATATAGTTATTTATTTATTTTCCCTAATATGATGAGATAATGAATCGAAATTGAATAATTTCAACTTGCTTTTTATATTGGTGTGCTCACAAAAGACAAAGTTTATACCTCGGTCTATACTACCTAAGCGGTACCATGAGCGGAAGAAATTAACCCTCTGTTTGAACACGTTAAAGTTTATATCCTTCAGGAAATGAAGTAGGAGGTATGGGGTTCCAGAGGTGGACAGTACGTCACCAAAAAGAAGCCCTATATTTAGAGGTCCTCATGGTAGCCAACTTTACCACATACGGATGGGATCTAGTTAGTTGAATGCTCAAAATGTCTTCCATTTTCTACTCTGGGTCGGCAACATTTTTGACTACATCGTTCTCCATAGGTGGATCGTTTTTAATAGCCCTGTGGCCGGATTCTCGTCTAAGGGAGTAGAGCTCCCCGATAGAACGAATGTTTTGTCCTTGTCAATGTAATCGAAAAGTAAATGAGAATGATAAAGACGAAAAATTTGTTCTCTCAGGGAGCTCTTCTCCCTGGCACGAGAATCGGCCCCCTGGGAGGACTTCAAAAAATGTAAAAGTAGGATTATTGTCAAAAAATCGCACCTTAAAGAAATCTATCCATTGAAGTCAGATCTGGGCTGCTTGGTCGCGTGGATATTCCCATATCTCCCTGTCCATCCAATAAACATGCTCTATTGTCCAAGAGTACGAAAAATCTCATTTTAGCTTTGTTTTGGTTCACAATTTGAAACGGTTCTGGGACTGCGGACAACTGCTTGCGCACAAAAAATAATAGAGGACTAGAGGACTGTTCTAATACTAGTTCTGTACCGATTCGGAACCAAAAAAACCAAAACACGTCTCAAATCACAAAATTCTAAAACAGTTCCTCCTTTAGAGCAAGAACTGAGAGAACCATTCTACAACAATCCCAGAATTCTTCTTAAATAGTTCTAGATAAACCAAAACACTGTCAAAACAGTTCGATTACGATTCTGAAAAAACGAAAACGCGTTTTATAATACGCGCATGTGCAGAATGATTTCGAACTAGTTCTTAGTGAAACCAAAACAAAGCTATTGACAAAGCTGACTTAAATCTAGCAAGCAAGCCAAGCTAGATTTTCAATAATATACAGGGTGTCCCACGGTGGATGGCGTATTAGACGTTTATGGAGACCTAAAAAACCCATCATTTTGAAAATTTGGCAACCGGGATAAATGACGGTGATCTACACTTTAAAAATATTTCTGTTTATGCGGTGTTGCCGCTTCTACTCTGAACCAGTGACAACATCACTATTTTAAGTGAAATACCCTGTATTTAATTGCATATTTGGATTCTACGTGAAATTCTAAGCAGATTTCATGTGACATACCATATACCTAAGTTCAACTGTTTTGGAAATATTGACAGTTGAAAATTGACTTTTTGCAACTTTGACAGGCTGTAAAACCTGAACGGTTAATTTTAGAGAAAAACCAATTTTACATTCCTGTCTTAGATTTTTATAAACTATCATATGACACCAATTTTGAATTTAATCCATGATTAAAAATTCCAATTAAATTTAATCTCCGGTTAAATTCAAAGTTGGTGTCAAATAATAGTTTAAGAAAATGAAAACCAGATAGGAATGTAAGATCGATTTTCCTCTGAAATTAACCATTTAGGTTTAACAGCCTGTCGTATAGGGTATGTCACATGAAATCTGCTCAGAATTTTACGTACAATCCAAATATGTAATCACATACAGGGTCTTCCATTTAAAATAGCGATGTTGCCACTGGTTTAGAGTAGAAGCGGCAAGACCGCATAAACAAAAATATTTTCAAAGTGTAGATTATGGTCTACATCCCGGTTGCCAAATTTTCAAAATGATCCGCTTTAGTTCTCTATAAATGTCTACTAACCGAATTTTTCCAAATATTATTCAATTTCGATGGTTAAGAATTGTATGTATCTTTCTCCCGTCGAATCCCCTTTTTTAAATAAGGTGTGAAAATTGTTCATATACGATTTTTCCCATACATGAATATTTTTATTTTCAGGTAAAAGTAAAGAGATTTCCAATGAAGAAATTCAAGGAGCAATGGCTTTGGTGGAATTGAAGAACTGCAGAGTTAGTTACAGAATATAAATCTTCAGCCAGTTAGTAAGTATCTGTTTTTGTGGAATCCTTATTTAATTTCACTTGCAAGTATTTTTGTGATGATATTGCATCATGATAGCAGGGTTGGAAAGTAATCCACATGAAAGAACCAACTTTTCTTAATTTTTTTTTATAGTGCGTTTATAGAAACAACCTAAATTGAAGCTTATAGTCATACAAAGCCTTTCGTAGGCATATTTTATAGTAATCTACAGAAACCGCAAATCTTGGAAACCCTATTCGTCGTACTTCTTATTGCCGCTTATTGGGTTTTCATTGACTCTACTCTTTCCTTCTTCTTAGCTTGTAAGTCTTCGATTTAGTATGCTTTGTTATAGGAATATTTCCTAACAATAACATTTTCTTTCCCATTTATACACACATTCATAATGGAGCCTAGATTCTATAGATTTCAGAACCTTCAGATCTGCATTCTGCTACATGGTCACAAGTCGGAAAGGGAAGAAAAGTCATAATTCGTCTACTTGACATAAATATGCAGTTGATAAGAAGCAAGACAAATGAACTGGAAACATTCCTGATTGGTAAACAGGTCAATATCATCTGTTTAAGTGAACACTGGCTTACAGAACGAGAATCTATGATGCTCAATCTGACAGGCTACCGACTTACTGCATTCTACCAAAGTGATCACAGCGGGGTGGATCTGCTATTCTACTAGATTTTAGTTATGACTTTAAAGTGTGTCAACTAAATGCTCTGACTGTTGATAAATCTGTAGAAACCTAGCTGCTTTGTCAAATTTAGGTTGCATATCATTTCAGTTTACAGGTCGTTGTCCAGCTCATTTGAGAGGGCACTAAACTTGATTGTAAACATGGATAACATCATGTTTGCAGGTAATAGTATTGTGCATTTCATTACTGGGACCTGAAAATGTATTTGCATATGTGGCTTACTTCGCTCATTTGGACTTGTCCAATTGGTGAGTGAACAGCTTGGGAGTTGCCTGGATAATGTATTCTCGAGTCTGCATTGCCATGTGTGCTGTGCGACCCCACAGTTTTATCTGACCACCTTGGCCAACTCATTATTTTTCCCATCACCCACGTCAATATAATAGGTATGTATATAGATAGCCTAATATAACAGAAACGACATGAGGACTACTATCAAGGGCAGATAATAATAATGGCACAATTTAAAAAAATACAAAAGTTTTTTTAATAACCTATAGTAAATATGCTTTATTGTCCAAGAATACAAAAAAAAAATAATGAGCAAAATAATCAAAACGGAACCAATAATTGGTTTAATGATGATTTAAAATCAATGAGAAAAGATTTCAGTTTTTTAAAAGAAATATATAATCGGTCCCCAACTGAAGAAATGAAAAATTATAGAAAAATATATAAATCCCCTAGGTGAGAATCTGCTATAAAACAAGACCAGGATTTTCTCAACAGTCGAGCATTTTTTAATAGTTCTGAGTTTTTGAATTTTAATTGTGATATCACTGAATTTTAACGTGTTGTATTTGTCATTAAATTTGTGCATATTTTTTGAACAGGTGTATTGTCTTATGATTTCAAATTGTATTGTATTTGTATTACATATTTTATTGTTAGTTGTATTATCTTCGCTTTTGTCTTTTCAATCAGAACCATAGCACATTATTTGATATGAGTTTATTGTAACGTGCGTTTATTCAAATTTGAGGCTGTGAGGGTGAGAACGTATTTCTTTACGTAATTTTTTTTCATTGACATTAAATATTGTCAAAAGGTTAGATATCAAATCATCGAAATCAATCAACGACATACGTTTCAATTTCCAAGGCTAACGTGAGGGGAAATTTAAATGAACGCTCATTATCACTGACTTGTACAAACTTTGCTTGTACTAGCACACTATGCACTACCTTCAATAATTAGGAATAACGCACGGCTAACATTCGATTTTTAGTTTCTATGGTTTTCACCAATTTATATGTTGTAGAGGCTCTAAGCGTTGAAAGGTGGACTTTTTTGCAAGGAAATTACCCTGTAACAATATTTTGAAGGGATGATAACCTATAAACATTTGCGAGTGCGTAAAATGTGTTGAAAACAGTATTTTGACTGGCAAACATTAGCTTATCGTATATTTTTCAGAAGAAAACTCCCATCTTTCAACGCCTATGTCTCACTGTTAGACGTACAAAATTTGGTCCCATTTAAAGGTTGTTCAGAATTAAATCTTATACGACATATCAAAAAATTTGCTAACACCGGTAGTCCATCGTCAAATTACCCGCCTCATCGGGGACAAAACTTTCATAAGGTGCCTGAAATACTTTATCATTCGTAACTAAAAACCGCCTGTCTGCCAGCGATAGGTGGTAGCTTGCACAAGAGTCTGGGGAACAGACAGACGAAGCTCCGTAATTCGTAATAAGTGCTAGTCTTTGTATGTATTTTAGATGCAACAGAGCAAATCGAAACTAACCCAAACTCACCCATCCTCCTAATAATCTTTAGTAGAGAAATAAAAACCCTAAGAAAAAAAAACCTAAAAAAAATGTATTGCCTTTAACAAAAATTGAACCCGGGTCCATGGGCTCCAAAAACCATGCGTCGTGCGTATCCTAAATGCGTCGCACCATGCCTTTGAAAGAAAACGTAGAAATCCAAGTAATAAACTGCGCAAAACGTTACCTTACCTAACCTATAAGGATATGTTTGGCAACGGATGGCATTTTAGCCGGTCCTAAACGAACCCATTAGGATCGGGCAACATTTTGGTGAATTTATTCGAAGTTCCGTCTATCTGCTCCCCAGACTCTTTCGTTGCTTGCTCTGGGTCTGCCCCCCAGATTAGTAATTTTGGTGGCACCAGCACCCCGCTGTTTCTTTGGTTGCCTATCTTTTGAAGAAGGTCTAAAACAACGCTAAAAATTGAAAAAAATAACTCCATAAATCTTTAGATAATCGATCATAGAATGTTTATGCCAAATTTGAGCCAATTCTGATGTGCCTTTTTTTCTTGCACCTTCAAGCGATTTACGATTAACTTCCAAAATTGCTTTGAAGGTGCAAAAAAACAAGAATGAGCCTTGACACTATATTAAAAAAAGAATGAAGGCTTTCACGGCCGGTCAAATCTAGTAAAAAAGTTTTTTCCGGCCTATAATGCCGAGGTCCATTAGTATTTCCTAACCTAACGTTTCGTTTACTGCTGCGGTAGACATCTTCAGAGGCGGTGTGGTAGAGGACGAAGTTTTCTCTTCCGTGTTCCTCCGATGACTGGATTCGACGTTGTTGGACCTGCGTTATTTCTATCCAGGGAAGGGTCTTTGTTTTTCGGAGAACTGGCAACCAGCTTTTGTTTAGGTTCATGCCCTCTTCTTTTCTGTTGAAGTTGTTGTGTGTTTCTGTATCTCTATGGCTTCTCTGTGAAGTCTGTTGTAAAAATGTTTGGTTCTATCCAATGCTTGAGTCTGGTCGAAACGAATGACACGGTTTGTTTGTGTAAGCACGTGTTCGGCGATTGCTGATCTATCTATTTGTCCCTGCTGCTGCTTTTGTGCTCTTTGATCCTCTCTCTCTGGACTCCCCATTGCGACTCCATCTGTCTGGTCAAAGAATTCATTTTGCCATTGAAAGTACGTAGTCGTCAGACAGTCGTGAAATAAGTTGTTGATTTCGTCCGGAAAAACATCTTTCAGATACTCTAGGGCCTGATTCACTGGTACCTTAGTAAACAATGAGACGACATCAAAACTAACCATAATGTCGTTTGGTAGTAGAGTGATGTCACTGATCTTTTTGATGAAATAAGTTGAGTCTTTAACATAAGAGCTGGATTGACCAATCCGTGGCTGAAGGAGGGTGGTAAGGTATTTGGCTATGCTGTATGTGGGCGAATCTATTACACTTACAATGGGCCTGAGTGGGTTGCCTGTTTTGTGAATCTCAGGAAGCCCATATATTCTAGGTGGTAAGGGCTCAGATTTGATGAGTTTCCTTATGTTTTCCGGGTCCAACGGTAGTGCACGGACGAGTTGATTGGTTTTTGGCAATATAGAAGCAGCGGAATTGCGCTTCAGCTTTGTGTAGGTTGAGGGGTCTAGCAGTTCGGAATTATCGTAGTTTCTATGCTGTCGGCGAACTGTGAGGCCGACGGCGAGTATAAACGATCTTAAAGGATTTCTAATATTCAATGGGTAACGGCGTGCTCGACGCAAACGTGAACGGATTCTTGATGGAGAGTTTATAAATTGGGCTTTAAACTGCTCTAACTCGAAAGCGGACCATCGTAGCAAGATGCGGTTTAAATATTTATTCTTAGATTTTTTTGCACTAAAACTTTCATTTTTGGGTCACACCCCCTTAAAGTCCTGAATACAATGTCGTCTATAAATATTTCCTAGTTAGTCAATTTGGTTAGTTTTAATAAGAGTTTTGTTGTGTTCAGTTATAGTTATATTATTTTGTTCATTAAAAGTTGATATTGTTTGTAAAGTGAGTTTAAGTGTACCCGAAATCCGTGACATTATTTTATTAATATAACATACGTCAACCTATAGTTACTAAGATAATTTGCGCACATTCTGTCAGCCTCTTCAACAATCTCAGACCTGCTAAGGAAATTGCGGTCAAGCAAGGTTGATACAGTAGCAATCTTTGTTGGTTCATTTGTATTCACTTTTCCAAGTGGCTGGTATATCAGTTCTTCACTCTCTGGTCCAACTTTGGGTAGTGCAGTCTTATCTTTTTCTCGTCAGTAACCAGCCGTAAGATACCTTTTCCTGTAATAATGCTAAATTGCCGCTTTCATTTTCCAGGGCATAATTATGACCGAAAATGCTTCCATCATATTAGTCGTGGTTATTTTATGATATCTTTGAGTGGTCGATGGCATTTTTTTTTCTGTATCCTCAAGTAAAACTGCTAATTAGCTTTGGGGCTTCGATTAAATACTGTTTTTTCGAAAAAAATCTCTTTGGTCTTTGCTTGTGGCTAATAGCCATGTCCCATGCTAAAATTTCACACCATTTTACCATAATACAAAAATGCAATTTGTTGGGAGAAGATAAATAAATGCTGATGGAGAAGCAGTCTAATTGACATGATATAAGCCACATTTTTACTTGTAAGTACATTGGCGTTAAGATAAAACTACTTGATAATGCACCTGATTTTTGTTTTATATATTAATTTTTATTTTCTAATTTTTTTTTTTTAAATTTTGTTAATTTGATTTGATTAAGTCACCATATCCAAGGTAACTTGAGTTCTTTTTTCTAGTTTTAGTAGTTAATACAGTTCGAGCAATGGACCTTTGCGTGCATGTCATAAAACTATGAATCAAATCAAATAAACTGTCTTTCAGATGCTCCCAGTTTTGTAAAATACCGCTAAAACTGGTGCTGGTTGATTCATATGAATATCGGCGATGACACTACTTGATGACGTGCACGCCAAGATCTATCAATGGAACTATAAATATTAGTTCTAAGAGTCATAGATATTTCTATATGAGCACCTAGCTTGAGCCTTTTTTCTCTTTAAAAAAGCTGATGTGATATGAATATTTATTGTTTCATGTTAATTTTGTTATAAAGATTTCAAAAATTTTAACTTCGTTTCCTAGTGTTTTCGATAATAAGATTCACCTCTTTTTACCCTGTTTATTTATTGCACTTAGTTAAGAGAGTTAAAAAAAATTCCGTGTTTATTTGACTTTTTATTAATGATTTTGTAATTGCGCATAATTTTAAGTATGTATGTACCTCCTACCTATTGTACCAAGCGAGAATTACTGCTTAACCATTATTTAATCAAGATGCTAGCAATTCCTGAAATTAAGCTTTATTTATTGTGCCTTTTATGCTTTGATGCTGCTGATACTGCTGACTTGATTAAATAACTTTATAATTTTTTTAGTAGGTAACTCTTGTTTATTGAAATTGTTTGTGTTTTAATAATTACTTCTTGACTATTATCAAATTGTATAATTTCTATTAAGATTGTACTTATTTAATTAAATTTGGCTTTATTTATTTTTCTGTGTTTATTTATCGAATCTAATGGTGTCCGACTTTATTAAGTGATACAAAAAAAAGGGACTAATGACTCCCCAAACATTAGGCCAAGCTGGGCACATTATGACTACCACATTGTGTGGATGGAGTATTTGGTGGCGATAATTACCTGCAATGATGGATATTTACCGACGATTGCATTGTTGTTGGTGTTGTGTTCGTACACTCATCGCACTCAATGGCTTAACTATAAAGGCATATGAAAAAATAAAATTACAGAAATAATCAGTTAGCCCTAGAAAACTTTATATTCGTTTAGCATTATTTGGTTCCAGAAATATTTTAATTGCCTCGCTTTTTTCTCCAGAAGGTCCTTTCCTTCTATTATAATGCCTAGAAAGTCGACCTTTTTACTGAGAAATTGAATCTTTTGAAGTGAAAACATCTTAAGGCGCGTTTAGCAGAAAAAAAAAATTCTGGGCAGTGAATGAGATTGAGCCGTCACACTCGAATTGTTAACGCTCATTCGGTCGGATACAGTCGGCTCGGGTCGACCTAAGAATAAACTCGACACTTGTCATTTCACAAGACAAGAATCAATTATCTTTCTAGGTTAGGTTTGTTGTTCGAGCTATATGCACGTGTGTTTGTCCTTCAACGTAATTTAATATTATACGCGTGTGTATGTAAATGTGTCAAAATTTGTTTAAAGTAATTTTTGACAATATTTTTTTTGCCTCGAGCGTATAATTCAAGATGATACCTATTGGGAAATGGACTAAGAAATAAAAGAACTTGTTAATTATCGATATTCAATATATTTATTATATCGAATACAGCGTGGAAACTCATAGAACTAACTAGGAACTGACTCACATCGAAAGACAAAGAATTATAAATCGATTAAGTCATCTATAGCTGCAATATAAATTAGCAAAGTATTGGCTTAAAATCAAAGTTTAATTTATTAATTTTTGGTTCACTGATATGAATATCAGTTTATCCACCACGCCACCTCAAAAATTTGATCAATTAGACTAAAAGTACAACTTAAACCTTTAGTATATAACATAAATAGGCCTGCTTTCCTTATGTGTGTCTTCTCTGGGGAAAATTACAATAACGGTCCAGCATTTGCTGCTCGGGATTAGGAAAAATCCAGAAAAACCGAATCAAACCATTTAACTTATTCACTAAGCCTAATTCCATTCTAATGTCTTCAAATTTTACTTGCATCAATGGTTTGGTAAACATGTCTGCAAGTTGTTTACCTGTGGACGAATATTTTATATTAATTACACCTTTCTCTATCTGTTCATTGAAAAATGATACTTTGTATCAAAATGATTTGATCTTTTGTGATTTGTTGGATTATTTGCAATACTCATGCAACCATTGTTGTCCTCCTAGGGCATAATTGGCTCTGATAGTAATATTTATGTATATTTTCTGCTAATGATTTTAACCAAAGAGCCTCTGTGACAGCCTTAAAAAGAAAGCCATATATTCGGCTTCAGTAGATGATGCCGCTACTGACAACTGCCTTTTTGTATTCCAACATATCACACAATTCTCAAACAGTTTAAATAAATATCCTGTTGTGCTTTTTATATTGTTTATATCATCTCCACCTTCCTAGTCAAGAAATTGATATATTCACAACTAAAATATTGTGTCAACTTCACATTGATTTTACTCTTAAGATATCCAGGTACCCTTTCCAAATAATGCCAAAGCTCTTCATTATTTTTATTTTGATACCTGCTCAAAATATCAACAAGGGTACTTAAATCAGGCTTGATATACATAACATAATATACATTAAACAGACGATTAGATTACGGCAAGGGCTATCATGCTTTTCTTCTGAATTTAAACCAATCAAATTCAATTTACTAGGAAGTGGAGTGCTGACACAGCTGATGGCACAACAATCATGCATATTAAATTTATGTAAAATAGTTTTTTTTTTGATGGACCTAGGTACATACCTTATTGATCAAGAGTAATTTTATTTTTGATTACCTTTCAATTTTTATACCCAAAAATAGTTTACTGTCTTTCAAATAAACCATAGAACAGTTATTTGCCAAATACCTTTTGAAACTATTCAATGTATTATTATCTGCAGTGGCAATTACCATTCACATAAAGAACTACATAAATATTTTTACATAATGCACGTTTGTCTAAGATATAAATACAGTGGTCAACTGATGAATTTTCAAACTCATTTTCTTTAAGAACCTTTTCTATTATTTCAAATCAACATCTAGTGGTTTGTTTTAGTCCATAGATACAAAGCCTTACAAACTTGGATAGGTTTAGTTGTCACACCTTGAGCCAGCCACCCTTCAGCCTTCAGGAACCTTCATAAAAGTGGCTTCGTTCAATGTCCCATTTGGGAAAGTTGTTTTTACATCCATATGATGTACTAAAAGGGTAAATTGATAAAAAGGTAATTATAAACCAGAAACTTACGAATCTCGCCACCTGTGCAAAGGTTTCATTATAATCTACCACACTGGCGCCGACTACATGGGGGCATCGGGGCAAGTGCACCCATGAGCAACCTCTCATGGATGCGGAGCACCGATGAGAGCTGTCGTGGGGAATGCGGAAGTACAAGTACAAGTGTTTAATGGTCATTCCAACGGTGGTTCAGCTATAAGTACTTGGTATATGGCTTACTTTTAACTTACTTTTTGATTTTGTTTTTCTTCTACTTGTACTTATTTCTTCGGGTGTATGTACAGTGTGTCCCATTTTGGTTGTACATAAGGGATATCTCAGTTGCTATTGGAGTTATATGGATGCAGTTTTCGCTCGGGTTTTCGGGAACGTTTGCTACTTTTCTGACAAACGAAAGATGCCGTCAACAAAATTGTCCTCGCCCTTTTCGTTCTTCAGATACAAGGTGTTTTTGAAAATGTTGCATTTTGGGACACCCTTTGTATCTCGCGGCTCTCTCAAGTGATCGAAAACGTGACAACGGATTCCTATAGATATTTTTACGTAGATTCCAGAAGCGTTGCCAGTTTTTCTCTAAAAGCAATAGTTTTTAAATTATGAACCCAAACATACATTATTTCAAATGAGACACTCTATATATTATAAACTCATTGAATAGCTTGATTGCTTCATCTTTGACAGTTTTCGAGCAAAAAAAAAATATCTTTTTTTTGTCATGCGAAACAATGTTACAGTGTTTTACTTTCTCATTTTCCTTAAGGTGCAAATTCAAACTTTATACCCTTGAAATCAGCAGAAGCAGAGCTATCCAACGAGCTATTAATACAGGGTGTCTCATTTTAAAAAACGTATGTTTGGTTCATTATTCAAAAACTGTCACTTCTAGAGAAAAACTGATCGCCACTGGAATCTATGTAGAAAGATCTATAAGAACCCGTTGTCTCCTTTTCGATCACTTATGAGAGAACCGGGATACGATACAAGAGGTGTCTCAAAATGCAATTTTTTCAAAAACACGTTGTATCTGAAAAACGGAATGGGCGATGTAGCCAACGTTCGCGAAAGAAAACCGTATCCTTCTAATTCCAATAGCAATTGAGATATTCCTTATGTACAGTCGTGAGCATAAAAAGTGGGACACCCGGTTTTTCCTATTATAAAACGAGCTCATCAGCTATACCTACGGCAATGACAGGGATTGTCATATTTGACAAAAAATTCATTGTAGAGGAAAGCCTGATTTACCCGAAATAGCGAAAAATGACAAGACCTGTCAGTCGGGTGTCCCACTTTTCATGCTCACGACTATATGTACAGGGTGTCCAACACTGGCGCCGACTACATGGGGGCATTGGGGCAGGTGCACCCATCAAAATCCTCTCATGGGTGCGGAGCACCCATGGGAGCTCTTGTGGGGAACGCGGAAGTACATACGTATATGATGATCATTCCGTTCCGTGGGGTAATATCGGTATCATGTAACTTAAATTGAAATCTACCCAGGATGGCCTGTAGAGATTTTGAACCTCTGAGATATTTGGGGTGATCGCAGAAACGTCGAGTGAGCGGCCGCTTAAGATGACTTCGGCCAAAGAGGATCGGCTCTTGGTGTAAAGGTCCTGCGCCTTTTCGAAGAGGGATTGGCGAGGACCCCGACCAGTGAAGTTCTGCCGTAGTTTGAGAGCTTTTTACGTGCCGCGGCGCCTGAAGGACCCGCGCCGGAAGGGTAATTTCTCTACCCCTTTTCCGAGATTTTACCCCGAATCGCTCGGAAGTCCAGCTTTTTAAGGCGGAATCGAATTGCTGGTCACTTCCGGTCAGGGTCATTTGAAGAAGAGTTTCCTAATGACGTTTGCCGTTGTCGTTGGAATTGGGGTTGAGGTGGCCGCGGAGGGAGGCCAGCTGCACCAGAACGTGATTGAAAATGCTGGTCATGCCTCCCGGTTCTCGGTTCGGAGTTGTCACTCCCTCCTGACCGTCGGTGAGGTCAATTACCAGAAGGGGAGGTGGCATCAGTGGGTTGGTAGGTAGGTGGTGCGAGGTGCCGGGTGGTCATCTATGAATGTCATTTGGGTGCCAGATGGATTGGACTATTAGAGTCATCCCCGGGAGACTTTGGTCTCGGTCTCTTCTGGGTGGAGATGGTGGGGAGTTCGGGACGCACAACTCTGCTCTTTGTCCTGCCTGGGCCCTTATCCTTATAGCTACAGGCGTGCTAGGTTCAGGCGTTCAGGGGTGGTTGCGCTGGTGACTCGTGCGCTATCGTCTCCCAAGATGGAGTTTGATGGGGTCCAGAAGACTGAATCGTCAGGGAACGAGGGTGGGTCGTCCTGGGTCGATCTGGGGGTGAATTTTTGATGGACCAGGAGTTTGCGAGTATATTATCATGTAATTTAAATTTACATAGTTTGCGCCTGCAGCAACTCTCCCCCTCCCCCTATAAACAAATTTATAAAGTTATTATCCTGCACCCTGCACCCATGAGAACTTTCAAAAGTCGGCGCCTCTGGTGTCCAAGATTCGATGGTTTTGCCGGGTCTCGGGTAT